CCGATTACACAACAGAAGGAGCTCCTAGGACTGTACAAACTGTAGTACCGATCTCAAAGCAAACTACCATGCCAACCTCTGCTTCTGAAACAACCACATACCTTCCAGGAGATACTACTCGAATGGGAATGACCGATTTCACAACAGAAGGCGCGCCTAGGACTGGACCAACTGTAGTACCGATCTATAGGGAAACAACTATGCCAACATCGGCTTCTGACACAACCACATCCCTTCCAGGAGATACTACTCGAATGGGAATGACCGAATACACTACAGAAGAAGCTTCTAAAACTGTACCAACTGTAGTACCCATCTCTAGGGAAACAACTATGCCAACATCGGCTTCTGAAACAACCACATCCCTTCCAGGAGATACTACTCGAATGGGAATGACCGTTTACACAACAGAAGGATCTCCTAGGACTGTACCAACTGTAGTACCGATCTCAAAGGAAACAACCATGCCAACCTCTGCTTCTGAAACGACCGCATCCCTTCCACAAGAAACTACCGGAATGGGAATGTCCGATCACACAACAGAAGGCGCGCCTAGGACTGGACCAACTGTAGTACCGATATATAGGGAAACAACTATGCCAACAGCTGCTTCTGACAAAACAACATCCGTTCCACAAGAAACAACCCGAATAGGAATGACCGATTACACCACAGAAGGTGGGCCGGGGACTGTACCAACTGTAGTTCTAATCGAAAGATCCTCGCTTAAGCCCCTCTATAGGGAAACAACCGTGCCAACATCGGATTCTGAAACAACCACATCCCTTCCAGGAGATACTACTCGAATGGGAATGACCGATTACACTACAGAAGAAGCTCGTAAAACTGTACCAACTGTAGTACCCATCTCTAGGGAAACAACTATGCCAACATCGGCTTCTGAAACAACCACATCCCTTCCAGGAGATACTACTCGAATGGGAATGACCGATTACACAACAGAAGGAGCTCCTAAGACTGGACCAACCGTAATACCGATATCTGGGGAATCAACTTTGTCAACATCTGCTTCTGAAACAACCACATCCCTGCCAGGAGATAATACTCGAATGGGAATGACCGATTACACAACAGGAGGGGCTCCTAGGACTGGACCAACTGTAGTACCGATATCTGGGGAAACAACTTTGCCAACATCGGATTCTGAAACAACCACATCCCTTCCAGGAGATACTACTCGAATGGGAATGACCGTTTACACAACAGAAGGCGCGCCTAGGAATGGACCAACTGTAGTACCGATCTATAGGGAAACAACTATGCCAACATCGGCTTCTGAAACAACCACATCCCTTCCAGGAAATACTACTCGAATGGGAATGACCGATTACAGTACAGAAGAAGCTCCTAAAACTGTACCAACTGTAGTACCCATCTCTAGGGAAACAACTATGCCAACATCGGCTTCTGAAACAACCACATCCCTTCCAGGAGATACTACTCGAATGGGAATGACCGTTTACACAACAGAAGGATCTCCTAGGACTGTACCAACTGTAGTACCGATCTCAAAGGAAACAACCATGCCAACCTCTGCTTCTGAAACGACCGCATCCCTTCCACAAGAAACTACCGGAATGGGAATGTCCGATCACACAACAGAAGGCGCGCCTAGGACTGGACCAACTGTTGTACCGATCTATAGGGAATCAACTATGCCAACAGCTGCTTCTGACAAAACAACATCCGTTCCACAAGAAACAACCCGAATAGGAATGACCGATTACACCACAGAAGGTGTGCCGGGGACTGTACCAACTGTAGTTCTAATCGAAAGATCCTCGCTTAAGCCCCTCTCTAGGGAAACAACCGTGCCAACATCGGATTCTGAAACAACCACATCCCTTCCAAGAGATACTACCCGAATGGGAATGACCGATTACACTACAGAAGAAGCTCCTAAAACTGTACCAACTGTAGTACCGATCTCAAAGCAAACTACCATGCCAACCTCTGCTTCTGAAACAACCGCATCCCTTCCACAAGAAACTACCGGAATGGGAATGACCGATTACACAACAGAAGGCGCTCGTAGGACTGGACCAACTGTAGTACCGATCTCTAGGGAAACAACTAATCCAACATCGGCTTCTGAAACAACCGCATCCCTTCCAGGAGATACTACTCGAATAGGAAAGACCGATTACACAACAGAAGGAGCTCCTAGGACTGTACCAACTGTAGTACCGATCTCAAAGGAAACAACCATGCCAACCTATGCTTCTGAAACAACCGCATCCCTTCCACAAGACACTACCGGAATGGGAATGACCGATTACACAACAGAAGGAGCGCCTAGGACTGGACCAACTGTAGTACCGATATCTAGGGAAACAACTATGCCAACATCGGCCTCTGAAACAACCACATCCCCTCCAGGAGATACTACTCGAAAGGGAATGACCGATTACACAACAGAAGCAGCTCCTAGGACTGTACAAACTGTAGTACCGATCTCTAGGGAAACTACCTTTCCATCTTCAGTTTCTGACACACCCACATCCCTTCCAGGAGATATTACTGGAATGGGAATGACCGATTACACAACAAAACCAGCTCCTAGGACTGTACAAACTGTAGTACCGATCTCTAGGGAAACTACCCTTCCATCTTCAGTTTCTGACACACCCACATCCCTTCCAGGAGATACTACTCGAATGGGAATGACCGATTACACAACAGAAGGGGCTCGTAGGACTGGACCAACTGTAGTACCGATATCTGGGGAAACAACTTTGCCAACATCTGCTTCTGAAACAACCACATACCTTCCAGGAGATACTACTCGAATGGGAATGACCGATTACACAACAGAAGGAGCTCCTAAAACTGTACCAACTGTAGTACCGATCTCTAGGGAAACAACTATGCCAACATCGGCTTCTGAAACACCCAAATCCCTTCCAGGAGATACTACTCCAATGGGAATGACCGATTACACAACAGAAGGAGCTTCTAGGACTGGACCAACTGTAGTGCCGATCTCAAAGGAAACAACCATGCCAACCTCTGCTTCTGAAACAACCGCATCCCTTCCACAAGAAACTACCGGAATGGGAATGACCGATTACACAACAGAAGGCGCGCCTAGGACTGGACCAACTGTAGTACCGATATCTAGGGAAACAACTATGCCAACATCGGCCTCTGAAACAACCACATCCCCTCCAGGAGATACTACTCGAATGGGAATGACCGATTACACAACAGAAAGAGCTCCTAAAACTGTACCAACTGTAGTACCGATCTCTAGGGAAACAACTTTGCCAACATCTGCTTCTGAAGCAACCACATCCCTTCCAGGAGATACTACCCAAATGGGAATGACCGATTACACCACAGAAGTACCGGCAAGACTTATGCCAACTCTTAGTTCGTTCAATAGATCCACCATCCCAACTGCTTCAAAGGAAACAGAGCCCACCCCTATATCGGTAGTGACGCCTGTTTCGGCGGTTGGTATGCCAAATGCCACCGAAAGAACTGTGACTATTACTCCGACAATAAATTGCATGACTGAAATCGACTGCTCTGACGATGAGACTTGTGTGGCAGGCATATGCATATCACCTTGTGAGTACTATCAAAATGTTTGCACTGTGCAAAATTTGACAGTCTGTCGTACATTGAACCACACCACAATGTGCTTTTGTGATACCGCCGCTGATGTAAATAGACCCGATTGCTCTATGAAAGCAGGTAACTAAAGTTGTGTATATAAGTTGTGTAAGTCTTGATATCGAATCATTAATGAATGAATTGCAAGGAACCACAGGGTTGCGGTATCGTGGCGCCGACTACTTTCAACGCCAATACATATAACTGGCAGATCGTAGGCGCCCACTTCAGTCTATCTCTACTTTTGGATTTCCAGCCATCACCCTTCTCTACTTGTGGCATATACTCCTATATGTATGTTCATGTATGAGCAGCCATCCGATTTGTGGGGGCACGTGCATGCTAGAATTTGTTTTATTATTCCTCGCAATCCCCTCGTGTGTTCTTTGTGCCTTTGCGGTTATCATGCGCTACTTCTTCCTTCACATTTGTCTCCGCTCCCTTTCTTGTTATTGCTCGTACTGCTTCTCTTCTGGCTGTCCTTCGTTCAACGTTTTTGCACCGAATAAATCCACCCACCCACCAATCAATCTTCTTCACCACCAGCTGCAATACTACACCTGAGATAGTTCGAACTGGCCCATGAATGCCAATCCATTGGGGTTCTCCTCACCGTCTAGCGTTCAGTCGTTTGCATGTCCTCTTAATGTTTGCAATGTTGCTCGTTCATGTTTTAGTTGCCTGCTTGTCATCTGCCTGCCTGCTGCAAATCTCATCAAATCAAATCCAAATCCTTTTTCATCATCTTGAATGTTTATCGTTATCAATTATCGTTCTGGAACTATGATTTCCATTCGCATGTTCTCTCTCGGCGTGACCGACTCCTTTTCAATTTTTGTGTGTTTTAATCTGTGTTGACTTTTGTTGTATTTAGTACATATACTCGTTTTAGTTGAACATTATCATGTACCGTAAGTGTATTTGTCTGTATTAGCTGCATGTGGTAGATGGTTTACTAATTTATAACCCCAAAAAATCCTAGTAGATAAATGGATACTGTAGGAAATAACACTTAAATAAAAAATGCACTAACCCCCAATGCTTTTGCATGTGTATATGTTGTTTGAAGCAACAGCTTACAACTAAAATATAATACATATATTTAACTAATGTATAACGCCTGCTAGTATTTAATGTGGCAAAAATTATAGAGACTAAAGAACCAATATTGAAAATAGAAGAATTCTAATACTAACTGCATTGAAATGAATTAATGAAAGAGAAACTACCTACCGAACAGGATTCTTGATCAAGGGAATGACTTACATTTTACCGACCAATATATTAATGCACGTGTGTGCGGAACTATGAGATTTTTCTAGCTGAACCCAACTAATCGCATAAATCTCTGGCACCAACAGAAATCGGTTGCGCATCGAGTGATGAGTGTCCCACCCAGCAGGCGTGCATCAATGCGCTTTGCGTGGATCCCTGTACCTACAGTAATCCCTGCAGCCGTACCGAAGACTGTCGAGTTCTCAACCATCAGCCTTTGTGCTCTGCAGGTATGTGCTTCATCTAAAAACAAACTAAGTGGAAATTTTAATGCGTAATGTTATTGAATTTTTTCAGAAATGGGTCGCACTCCTGGGTGCGAGCACTGTCCGCCGGGTGCCAATTGCGATCCCACCACTGGTGCTTGTATCAAGGGTAAGTCCTGTCTCAAAAGTCCTAGCTAATTAATACTAAATACTTAACACTAAAAGTGTAAATACAATGTGTACATATATGTCTAATATAAAATAACCTCCCGGTTACCCGTGTAAATACCCGTCTCTTTCCTTAGCTAATGTAACAATAACAACTAGTACTACCAAGAAACCAAGAACAACCAAGAGACCAACACCAACACCAAGAACAACTGCAACTACAACCACAACCACAACAACTGCTAACCCAAACAAAAGTGTCAAAACACCGACCACCACCACTACCTCCACTAGCACTGAATCGAGCACAGCATCCACAAGCGCTACTAACCAAACAACCAGTAAGAATAAGCCACCAGACACCGAAAGCACAACATCCCACACGGATGCCACAAGGCGGTACCGCGATGGAGAGAACAATATAACCGATACACCGACGGCAAGGCCATCGGTGGCAACGACCAAGTTGCGTGGCGAAGACGTGGCCGGCGACAGTCAACGGCGAACCACAACGACGCCAAAGATGAAGACCACGCGTTTGGATACATCCAATGAAGTGCCCGATGCGACAACAACCTGGCCGACCGAGCTGCCAACCACTGATGGCACCACAACGGAGATCTACAGCACAATAATTGTCCCACTGGGAGGCAACAACGCCACCACCACTACTGACATCTCATTAATTAACCCATGTACAGTAGATACTAACTGTGCCCCTAACGAGCACTGTAAGCTGGGCAATTGCCGTAAGAAAGGTATTTTTATTTACCAAATTTATAAGTGCACGCCACTTTGGGATCTTTCCAGCACACAAAATTTAGGTCTGCACAAATCCACCACATGTATGTACATAAGTCTTTCGGCTCAAAATTAATGAGTTAAATATTTGTGTGCCAGTGTGAGACAACAACGAAATGAAAGCAAAGCCATTTGCCATTTGTATGAATTCGGAACAATCCCTCATTTTCACTTAATGAATTCGTGCCTCTTACTCTTACGTCTTACTCTTTTCACTTAAAGTTTTTCGACGTGGTTTTTTTCATTATCTGAATGAATATACACACTCATTCATTCGAACTTATTTCGAGCGTATGTAGCTTCAATACATTCCATTCCAAAAGAGTACAATTTTGAGTGGATTCTTGCAGATCTCTTACCCACAAATCAGTCTTCGACATTGTTGCTAATAAATTTATGTTAAAAAAAGATCCTAAAGTGGCAAGAGCGCATCTATTGTACATATATAAATACTTATGTATAGGGCTTGTTTTTGTGATCTGGCATTTTACCAAATAATTTTGTAAAAATTGTACATACCTTAGCCATAGCCCCTGTACATATTATTGAAATCATTTAATATCATTTTTAAAACCATCATCAATTACTTAACTCCTTTAACTCACTAAATCCTTTCTAACAAGTAGAGCCACCGGGTACACCGAAAACACCAGAACCCTGCCAATCGAACAACGATTGCATTGAGAGCGAGGCCTGTTACATGGGTCTGTGCCAGGATCCTTGCGATTTTGCCAAGATATGTGCCGCGAGTGCCAAGTGTACGGCTAAGAGTCATCGACCCATATGCACCTGTCCGCAGGGACATGAGGGCAATCCGATGGTCAAGTGTGTGCCCACCGAAACCTCAAGTAAGACACTAATCGAATTAATCAATTAAAAATAATTTCAATGGGATAAACTAAACGAAAGATAATTACCATGGAATTATGTCCGACATAAGTTAATAAAATTCCTTCACTTTCAAGTTGAATGTACAGACAATTCCGACTGCGGAGTAACGGAGGCTTGCATCAATGAGAGATGCCAGCATCCATGCGATGTTCACGATCCCTGTGCCACGAATGCCATTTGCATCAACACCAACCATGCGGCAGACTGCAGTTGTGCCGATGGTTTCCAGGGCAATGGACGTGTCGGCTGTCAGCCAGGTTAGTATCGCTAAAACGCTATAGCACACAGTATATGGCACATCTCTGTTGTCCTCCAAGGAATCCTTTGCTAATCTTACACATCGTTTCGTTTCCCAAACGCTCTCTTTTTCATAAACACTGTACAAATACCCGTACACCACGTATACACCATGTATAAAATTTGTACCGTCCCGACACCTCAACTATAAATACACCCACAACCGTACAACCCGAATATCGCACCCGTAATCGTAACCCAAACCAATAGCACGCACCCATGTCTGCCAATACAACGAGGACTGTCCACCGACGAAACTCTGCGATCGCCTCAACCGTCGCTGCATCAATCCCTGCCAAGAGGATTCCTGTGGCGAGAATGCCGAGTGCGTACCAATCAACCATGGAACTGATTGTCGCTGTCTGCCCGGCTTCCTGGGCAATGCCTATGTGCAGTGTTCGCCGCTGCAGGGATGTCGTGCCGACACCGAGTGCGATTCTAGTCAGGCCTGCATCAATGGAAAGTGTGCATCGCCCTGTCAGTGCGGCGCCTTTGCACTCTGCGATGTGATCAACCATCGTGGGGTGTGCAAGTGTCCGCCTGGATACAATGGAAATCCCCAGGTGGGCTGCAGTCCGCCGCAGAATCCTTGCGATCCCAATCCCTGTGGCCTCAGTGCCCTGTGTGAACTGGACAACGGCAATCCCATTTGCTACTGTCCCAAGGGACTCACAGGAAATCCATTCAAGAACTGCAGTAAGTATTCCTTAAGGACTACCAATAAACAAAAAACTAATTACTCTTGATTATGCAGTCCCGGAAGGCGATGAATGCACACCGAATCCTTGTGGACCCAACTCCGGATGTCGTCGCGTGGATGGGCAATCCGTCTGCTTCTGCCTGCCCGAATACGAGGGTCAGCCCCCTTTGATAGCCTGCGAGCTGCCGTCGAACCCATGCGGACCGTCGCCGTGCGGCCCCAACACACAGTGCACCGTCCTGAGCAACGGCTTCTCCAAGTGCACCTGCCTGCCGGGTTACGTGGAGAGCCCCAACACCATTCGTGGCTGTGTGGAACCCATCAATCCATGCGATCCCAGCCCCTGTGGCACTGGTGCCATCTGCGACTCGTCGCGCCAACCAGTGTGCTACTGTCCGGACAACAAGATCGGAAATCCCTTCAGGCTGTGCGAGAAGCCCGCGGTGTCAATTGAGCTCTGCCAGCCAGGTCCTTGCGGCCGAAATGCCGACTGCTATGTGGCCGGTAATCGTGAGGAATGCTACTGTCGCTCAGGATATGTCGGCGATGCCTACCAAGGATGCCGCGAGCCAAGTCGCACCGTCTGTGACCCGAATCCATGCGGACCCAATGCCAATTGCGTTGTCGCCGGCGATGGACAGACCGCCTGCGTTTGTCCCGAAGGTCTCTCCGGTGATCCCACATCGCTGGTGGGTTGCCACGGCTATGAGTGCCAGGTTGATGCCGATTGTCCCCACAGCAAAGCCTGCATGGGCTTCCGCTGTTACGATCCCTGCCCCGGAGCTTGCGGCCATGGAGCCAACTGCCGCGTTGAGGAGCATCACCCCGTTTGCTCGTGCAATGCTGGCTTGACTGGCAACCCAGGAGTCCGTTGCTATGCCCTGGACCATCCGAAGACCAATCCGTGTGTGCCCAGTCCCTGTGGCGTCAATAGCGAGTGCAAACTGCTCAACAATCGCGCCGTCTGCTCCTGCATTCCCGGCTACCTAGGCGATCCAGAGTCGGGCTGCCAGCCGGAGTGCGACATCAACTCGGACTGCGGCGAGATCCTGTCGTGCATTAACCACAAGTGCGTGGATCCCTGTGCAGGAGCTATTTGCGGTATCAATGCCATTTGCAATGTCCGCCAGCATACGCCAGTGTGCCATTGCTTGGACGGATTCGCCGGCGATGCCTTCCTTCAATGCGTGCCGATTGGAATTTTGAAGAACGTGTCGCGCGACCCGTGTGCCCCGTCCCCCTGCGGACCGCACGACGTCTGCTCGGTCTATGGCGATGGTGTGGCACTGTGTGATCCCTGTTTTGGACCCAATGCCCAGCAGAATCCACGTTGCCGACCCGAGTGTGTGGCCAACTCCGACTGTCCCTTCGATCGTGCCTGTTTGGGTCAGCGCTGCCTCGATCCTTGCCCCGGCTCCTGCGGACGCAGTGCCCAGTGTAATGTGTACGAACACAATCCGGTGTGTTCCTGCCCCGTAGGACTCTATGGCAATCCATACGAGCAGTGCACCATTCAATCGGCAATTGTACCAACTCCAGCGCCAAGCTGCGCAAAGCTGCAGTGCGGCGCCAATGCTGAATGCAAGCGGGCGCCCGGTGGCCTCGCCTGCGTCTGCCGCAAGGGATACTTTGGTGATCCACATGTTGGCTGTCGTCCAGAGTGCGTGCTCAATAGCGACTGTCCCGCGGACAAGGCCTGCATGAACTCCAAGTGCGTGGAAGCCTGTGCTGGCGTGTGTGGTATCAATGCCGTCTGCCGTGTGGTGAACCATGCCCCAGTGTGCATCTGTTCTGAGGGTTACAGTGGAGATGCCTCCATTGCCTGTAATCCTTACTATCTGCCACCCGTTTCACCGCCCATTGTGAGGCCACATCCGTGCGAACCCTCGCCCTGCGGTCCCAATTCCCGCTGTCTGGCCACCCCCGAGGGATATGCCGCCTGCTCCTGCCTGCCAAACTTCAAGGGAGCCCCGCCCGTCTGCCAGCCCGAGTGCGTCGTAAGCTCCGAGTGTGCTCCCAACCAGGCCTGTCTCAACCAGAGATGCGCGGATCCATGTCCCGGTATCTGCGGTGTCGGAGCCCGCTGCGAGGTGCTCAATCACAATCCCATTTGCTCGTGCGAGCAAAAGTTCGAGGGAGATCCGTTTGTTGCCTGCTCTCCCATACCCGAGCCGGGTCGCGAGGTGGATCTGCCCAAGAATCCGTGCGTGCCCTCGCCCTGCGGACCCAACTCCATTTGCCAGATCAAACAGAACCGCCCGGTCTGCTCGTGTGTGGCCAACTACATTGGCAGCCCGCCCTATTGCCGGCCAGAGTGCACACTGAGCAGCGAGTGTCCTTCGGACAAGGCCTGCATCCATGAGAAGTGCCAGAATCCCTGTGCCAATGTCTGTGGACACAACGCCCGTTGTACGGTCATCGCCCACTCCGCTCACTGCAGCTGCGACCAGGGTTACGAGGGAGATGCCTTCATCGGCTGCTCTCAGACAAAAGAAGAGAGTAAGTACAATTATTTGTCTATAAAATCAGGATATCTCATCCGAAACAACTTCCACTCACAGAATCGGGTGATGACTTTGGACCCTGCTATCCCAATCCTTGTGCCGAGAATGCCGTGTGCACACCACACAACAATGCCGCTCGCTGTAGCTGCATTGAACCGTACTTTGGAGATCCGTACAGCACTGGATGCCGGCCCGAATGTATCTATAACTCGGAATGCCCCTCGTCGCTGGCCTGCATCAAACAGCACTGTCGCAATCCTTGCACAGCTGCCTGTGGAGCCAATGCCGAGTGTGCCGTGGTCAACCACTTGCCATCCTGTAGTTGCACCCGCGGTCACGAGGGAGATCCGTTCGTGGGTTGCAAGCGTATGCCTGTGGGACCTGTGAGCGTCTGTGAACCGAATCCTTGTGGCCCCAACAGCATCTGCCGAACGGTCGAGGGTCATCCCACGTGCAGCTGCCAAGTGGGTTACTTTGGAGCCCCGCCACAGTGCCGGCCTGAGTGCGTCGTCAGCTCGGAATGCTCGCAACATCTGGCGTGCATCAACCAGAAGTGTACTGATCCGTGTGCCGAAACCTGCGGCTTCAATGCCAAGTGTCAAGTTAATAACCACAACCCGATATGCTCTTGTCCCAGAGACTACATTGGCGATCCCTTTGAACAATGTGTACCTAAACGTAAGTCCAATATAAGCAGGAATATTAGGCGAATCTAATGCATTACTTTGCGTTTCCTGCAGCATCTGAACCGCCAAAGAATTTGGATCCCTGTCTGCCCAGTCCATGTGGACCCAATGCCAATTGTCGGAATGTGAACAATCGCGCCGAATGCTCCTGTGCTCCGGGCATGTTCGGAGCCCCACCGAGCTGCCGACCCGAGTGCGTTATCAATCAGGATTGTCCATCCAACCGGGCTTGCATTCGCCAGAGATGCGAGGATCCTTGCATTGGAATCTGTGGCTTCAATGCCCACTGCTCTACACAGCATCATCAGCCCAAGTGTGGGTGCATTGAGGGTTTCGAAGGCGACCCGTACACCGGCTGCAACATGCGGGAGAGTGAGTACACATTTTACAGAGTATTTGCTATCCTTTCCAAGAGCGCAGGACGCCTGCTCGTAATGTTACATGTTCCTTTCAGTGGTGCTCTAGACGTAAATGGCTTTTGGTATTCATTGATTTATGCATGTTCCTTGTATTATGTACATTTTATAGCATCCTTCTTAGATTTAAGTCTATTTGTATCCACATCCTGTATCCATATCTATATCTATATCCATTCCTATCCATGCTTGCTATGTTAGTCGTGGTTCCGGACCAACCAGCCGATCCATGTCACCCATCCCCATGTGGTGCCAATGCCATCTGTCGTGAACGCAATGGTGCCGGGTCATGCAGCTGCATCCAGAACTATTTCGGTGATCCGTACATAAACTGCCGCCCCGAGTGCGTGCAGAACAGTGATTGTCCCGCGAGCAGGTCCTGCATCAACATGAAGTGCGGCGATCCCTGCGCCAATGCCTGTGGCTTCAATGCCCTCTGCCGTGTGGCCCATCACCAGGCGGTTTGTAGCTGTGAACCCGGATTCACAGGCAATCCGCAACGCGCCTGCGTCGAGCGTCCCTCAAGTATGCCTACGCAACCATCTCTCGGTCCCAAAAACTCTTCTCTAAAAGCTCTTTGCCCATCCTCTCCTTAGATATGTACCTGCCCTTGCCCAAAGACCCTTGTAGACCATCGCCTTGTGGCCTGTTTAGCACTTGCCACGTGGCTGGAGATCACCCCGTTTGCGCTTGCCTTCCGGACTACCTTGGCGTTCCGCCCAACTGCAAGCCCGAGTGCCGCACAAGTGCAGAATGTCCCTCGGATAGGGCGTGTATCAATCAACGTTGCCGCGATCCCTGTCCCGGCACTTGTGGTTACAATGCGCGTTGTCGCTGTACGAATCACTCCCCCATTTGTAGCTGCATCGACGGCTACACCGGTGATCCGTTCCATCAGTGTCTGCCCGAAAGAAGTAGGTTTCACTATGAGAACTCCAATCCTCTCTTGGATAGCGCCACAATTGAAATGTCGTATGTTTGTAGAACCGGAGCCGATACCAGACCCCATCGTGCCATTGAATCGTGCCTGCGTACCATCGCCCTGCGGTCCCAACTCCCAGTGCCAGGTGGCCAGCACTGGAGCCGTGTGCTCCTGCGTGGCCAACTACATTGGACGTCCGCCGGCCTGCCGGCCGGAGTGTAGCATCAATTCAGAGTGCCCCGCCCGGATGGCCTGTATGAATGCGCGTTGTGCCGACCCGTGCATCGGTTCCTGCGGCAACAATGCCCTCTGTCATGTCAGTCAACATGCTCCGGTGTGCATGTGCGAGCCTGGCTTCAGTGGCGATCCCTTCACCGGCTGCTACAAGATCTTAGAAAGTAGGTCCTTCTAGGGAAATACTCAGACTCGTTGCCCAAAATACTTAAACCCCACCATTTCTGTGCCACACAGCGCCCATTGAGGTCTCACAACCCTGTCGCCCCAGTCCTTGCGGCTTGAATGCCTTGTGCGAGGAGCGAAATCGCGCTGCTGCCTGTAAATGTCTGCCCGAGTACTTTGGGGATCCGTACACCGAGTGTCGCCCCGAGTGCGTCATCAATTCGGACTGCCCCAAGTCGCGGGCGTGCGTCAATCAGAGATGCGTCGATCCCTGTCCCGGGATGTGCGGCCACAGCGCCCTGTGCGCTGTCTTCAATCATGCACCCAACTGTGAATGCCTGCCCGGCTACACGGGAAACCCCATTGTCGGCTGTCACCTGGTACCCGAGACGCCACGCTGTAAGACCCCCACAAAGCTAGGCCCCCGCTGAAACCCTACTAATTGTCGCCATTTACCGCCCTCCTGCTCGATCTAGATCCCGACCCAATAGTACCCGAAAATCCATGCCAACCCTCGCCCTGCGGCCTCTACAGCAACTGCCGCCCGGTCAACGGCCATGCAGTATGCTCCTGCGTACCCAACTACATTGGATCCCCACCCAACTGCAGGCCCGAGTGCATGAGCAGCTCGGAGTGCGCGCAGGACAAGTCGTGTCTGAACGAGCGGTGCAAAGATCCCTGCCCGGGCACCTGTGGCAACAATGCGATCTGCCGTGTCGTTAACCATAATCCCATCTGCTCCTGCAGCCCCGGCTTCAGCGGTGATCCATTTGTGCGCTGCTTCCCACAAGAAAGTAAGAATCGAAGGCAAAACTCGAGAAGAAGGACGTACTTTCGGCTAGCCGAAGGTTCGAATACTTTTGCAGATTAAGAGATTTGAGAGAGTTTCTTTCTTGAAGACTATTCTACATGTCTGTCCGATGTCGAATCTGGAAGAAAATTCAAGTAGAACCGATTGTTCAAATACGATTTGTGAATCAAGATATCTATCTTTTAAAACCGGACAGACGCCCTCCCATTTCTGATATTGCTCCGATTGCTCCGAGATTTGTCCAGCCCATATACTTTGAAGGAGTACTAGTCTCTAGGGAAAGAGCTAGTGGTGGAGATAGGGTACACTCTTCGAGTCTATTCATCTGCAAGGGTATAGAAACCGAAATGTTCTCTCATCATCACCATCACTGAAGTGCCCCTCTAGTGCTTTCTCCATTTCATTCCATGCTTGACATCATCCTCTCTATATATATATGTATACTATATCTTTACTTTATTATCTCCTTTGTATGTACTCTATTTTATGGCTTATCTTTGTGCATGATGTTATCATATTTGTGGTTTCCTGGTGTCCTGGTGTGATGGTACATTTAGAACGCCCCATCGTCCATGATCGCGTCGAGCCATGCGTGCCCTCGCCGTGCGGGCCAAACTCTCAGTGTCGGGTGTCGGCTAATGATCAGCCCGTCTGCTCATGCTTGCAACATTATGTGGGTAGGGCGCCAAATTGCCGACCCGAGTGCACTTCGAACTCGGAGTGTGCCGGCAACATGGCCTGCATCAATCTGCGGTGCCGGGATCCCTGCGTGGGTACCTGCGGAAGTCAGACCACGTGTCTTGTAAATAATCATAGACCGATATGCCGCTGCCTCGAGGGCTATGCGGGCGATCCATTCTCCGAGTGTAGTCCACAAAGTAAGGGTCAAGCCACACTCGACGCAACGCCAACGTCATTGCCCCACATTGCTAAACTGCTACCCTTTCCCCACTTCATTCATTTAGCTATCGTTCCGCCCGAGGTTGCACAGCCCTGCAATCCCAGTCCCTGCGGCGCCAACGCGGTGTGCAACGAGCGCAATGGTGTTGGCTCCTGTTCCTGCCTGCCCGAATACAGTGGCGATCCGTACACCGAATGCCGGCCGGAGTGTGTCCTGAACAGCGACTGTTCGAAGAACCGCGCCTGCCTCAACAACAAGTGCCGCGATCCCTGCCCAGGTGTTTGCGGTATCTCCGCCGAGTGTCATGTGATTAATCACGCGCCCAGCTGCAGCTGCCCCTCCGGATACACGGGCAACCCATCGCAGTACTGCCGGGAAATACCAAAATGTAGGGTCTATCTTTGTGTCACTTCTCCTGAAACATCGGTTGAATGAATTTTATTTCCCCATGAATTCTAGTGGCCCCGCCTGTCCAGCCGTGTCGCCCGTCGCCATGCGGCCCGTACAGCCAGTGCCGCGAGGTGAACGGACATGCGGTCTGCTCATGCACCACCAACTATGTGGGCACTCCGCCCGCCTGTCGACCGGAGTGCTCTGTTAGTTCCGAGTGCTCTCAAGACAGGGCTTGCGTGAACTTGCGCTGTGTAGACCCCTGTCCCGGAACCTGCGGCCACGAGGCCATTTGCAAGGTCACGAATCACAATCCCATCTGCTCGTGCCCCAGTGGCTACAGCGGCGATCCGTTTGTGCGATGCGCTCCACGGCAACAAGAACCGGAGCAGCCAAAGTCCAATGAGAATCCCTGCGTGCCCAGTCCCTGCGGCCGCAACTCCCAATGTCGCGTGGTGGGCGAGACTGGCGTCTGTTCCTGTCTGCCCAACTTCGTGGGCCGTGCGCCCAACTGTCGCCCAGAGTGTACCCTCAATTCCGAGTGTCCTGCCAATCTGGCGTGCATCAATGAGCGCTGCACAGACCCTTGTCCGGGGTCATGCGGCTTCAATGCCTACTGCAGTGTCGTTGGCCACTCGCCCATCTGCTCGTGCGACAATGGCTTCACTGGCGATCCATTCGCTGGCTGCAATCCGCAACGTAAGCGCGTCACTTCGCAGCTGTTTCCCTTTTGATATCCGACCTAATCTCGTTTCGTGTGACCTGCAGCTTTGCCAGAACCCGATGAGCGCCTGACACCCTGCCAACCCTCGCCCTGTGGCCCCAATGCCGAGTGCCGTGAACGCAGCGGCGCCGGCTCCTGTACGTGTCTGCCAGAGTACTTTGGCGATCCGTACAGTGGCTGTCGTCCCGAGTGCGTGGTTAATAGCGATTGCTCACGCGACAAGTCCTGCGTCAACCAGAAATGCGTGGACCCTTGTCCTGGCGTTTGTGGCCTGAACGCCGAGTGTCGTGTGTCCAATCACTTGCCCAGCTGCTCGTGCCTGGCCGGCTACACTGGAAATCCGTCGAGTGCATGCCGTGAAATACCCCAACTCCCACCCCCACGTAGGTGTACCTGCAAATCCTAAAAGAAACAAAACAAGACTAAAACCCTACTAAAACCCATTCCCCCAGCCCTGGCCGATGTGAATCCCTGTAGACCCTCGCCGTGCGGTCCGTACAGCCAGTGTCGGGAGATCAATAACCATGCCGTGTGCTCTTGCCAGCCCGGACTCGTTGGCTCTGCCCCCAACTGTCGGCCCGAGTGTATCATAAGCTCCGATTGTGCCCAAGATCTCAACTGTCAGAATCAGAAGTGTGTGGACCCGTGTCCGGGCACATGCGGCATTGAGGCACGTTGTCAGGTCATAAACCACTATCCTGCATGCTCCTGTGCCCCAGGCTATACCGGAGATCCCTTCAATCGGTGCACTAAAATATTGTGTAAGCATGATACGATGTCCCCTTCGAAGGGAGGGCAAGCCAATTGGTGGATACCAGATTCCACCAGTTGGGATGCACTCTTTTAATCACGGTTGCCATATGAAAATGATGAGATAGATAATATCCAAAGATTATAGAACACCTGGAGGATGAATTTCCTATAAGAAACGCCAGTACAACCCGTTCAACCAACGACGAAAACGTACGCTCTCATTATGATTCCTGTTGATTCTCCCGTAGCTCTCATATTTATATTCTTCAGATTTACTTCCGAAGGTACTCTCTTGCTTGTCGTGCCCAGAGCCTACTCTCTCGCATTCTCCTCGTTGATTCTCACTTGTTTTCAATACATGCGTCCCATCTATGTGTTCTATAATCTGGAATTATACTTTTATTTATGTCTCCTAAAATGGTATTATAATGAATACGAGTACACTTCTGTGTGGCAACCGTGTGCCCTGATTCCTCCCTTCCTATTGCATGTATATACACTCTTTACTTTAATGTTTGATTTTTCTGTTTCTCTATTTTATGTTTTTGTGATTTTTATGTACACTATGACTATGTAAACTACTATCCATCCAACTCCAATCTATCTCCGATCTATCCGACTACCGTACTACCTATGTAATGTTTTTATGTAAAATGTGTGTTTATGGCATGGATATGTTGACTATGGCTATTGGCTATGTGTAGTGGAGCCCACAATACCCGAAAAGTCCGGTAATCCCTGTGTACCCTCGCCGTGCGGACCCAACTCGAAATGCATCGATGTGCGCGGTTCGCCTGCATGCTCCTGTCTGCCGGACTACCTCGGCCGGCCGCCCAACTGTCGGCCCGAGTGCATGAGTAGTGCGGACTGTCCGGCGAATCTCGCGTGTGTCAACCAACGCTGCGCAGATCCGTGTGTTGGAGCTTGTGGCCAGAACTCTCTGTGCCAGGTGATCAAGCATCGTCCAACATGCGAATGCGTTCCTGGTTACACCGGCGATCCGTTCTCCGGCTGTGCTGTTGTACAGCAAAGTATATATCAATTGCATGCCAACGTATACCTTATCCTCCTCCACTCACACCACTTTTCCCTTATTTTCTGCCCTATATAGTTACGCCAACGGAGGCGCCACGCAATCCCTGCAATCCCAGTCCATGCGGCGCCAATGCCGTGTGTCGCGAGCGCAACGGCGCCGGCTCCTGCACCTGTCTGCCTGAATACTTTGGCGATCCGTACAGTGGCTGCCGCCCGGAATGTGTCCAGAACGATGACTGCGATCGCTCCCGTGCCTGCATCAACAGCAAGTGCCAGGATCCTTGTCCCGGTGCCTGCGGAATCAATGCCGAGTGCCGTGTCCTGAATCATGGTCCCAACTGCAACTGCTTCGAGGGCTACACGGGTGATCCGCATCGCTCCTGCGCTCTGCTTGAAGTGGTGACCCGACGACCCGAGAACCCATGCCAGCCCTCGCCCTGTGGACCCTACAGCCAGTGCCTGGACACGAACAGCCATGCGGTCTGCTCCTGCCTAGAGGGCTACATCGGAGCACCGCCCAGCTGCAAGCCGGAATGTGTCGTCAGCTCCGAGTGCCCCCAGAATCGGGCGTGCATCAATCAGAAGTGCGCCGATCCCTGTCGCGGATCCTGCGGCAACAATGCCAAGTGCCAGGTGGTGAACCACAATCCCATCTGCAGCTGCGTGCCCGGCATGACCGGCGATCCCATCAGCGGCTGTACACCCAGCGAAGATGCCAAGGAATATCAAGAGCCGTGTGTGCCCTCACCCTGTGGCCCCAATGCCATTTGTCGCGAGATTGGAAACCAAGCGGCTTGCTCCTGCAATGCCAACTTCATTGGACGTCCGCCCAACTGCCGGCCAGAGTGCACCAACAACGACGAGTGCCAGAATCATCTATCCTGCCAGCAGGAGCGCTGCGTCGATCCCTGTCCTGGCTCATGCGGCAGTAACGCCGTCTGTCAGGTAGTGCAACACAATGCCGTCTGCTCCTGTGCCGATGGCTACGAGGGTGAGCCGCTCTTCGGGTGCCAGCTGATTCCCCTGCTGTTGCCCACCGAGGCGCCCACATCGCCATGCGAACCTTCGCCGTGCGGCCCCCATGCCGAGTGTCGCGAACGCAACGGAGCCGGCGCCTGCTACTGCCATGAGGGCTTCGAGGGCAATCCCTACGATGCACAGCGCGGCTGCCGACGCGAGTGCGAGATCAACGATGAGTGCACGGCCGCCCAGGCGTGTGTCCGCTTCAAGTGTATCGATCCCTGCGACAATATGTGCGGGGAGTACGCTCTCTGTACAGTGGATAACCATGTGCCCACCTGCACCTGTCCGGCCGGCTACAGCGGAGATCCGTTCTTCAGCTGCAAGCCCGTGCCGGTTACCCCGCGTCCACCGCTGAACCCGTGCAATCCCTCGCCCTGCGGCCCCAACAGCAACTGTCGCAGCATCAACAACCAGGCCGTATGCTCCTGCCAGTCGGGCTTCGTCAATCAGCCGCCCAACTGCCGACCCGAGTGTATAGTCAGTGCGGAGTGTGCCCCGGAACGTGCCTGTGTGAACAAGAAGTGTGTGGACCCATGTCTGCACACCTGCGGCATTCGTGCCATCTGCAGTACCAAGAACCACAGCCCCATCTGCACATGCCCCCGCGGCATGAGCGGTGATCCCTTCGTTCAGTGCTCTAGGATACGTAAGTATATGAAAGAATCAATGAAAGAGAAATTCTAATGTTCGTCCCGTCCCATCCGCAGCTATAACACACGATGTGACTACCGCAGAACCTCCAGCTGCATCTTGTGTGCCTTCACCTTGCGGTCCCAATGCCAAATGCCAGATTGTGGGCAATAGTCCGGCCTGCTCCTGCTTGCCGAACTTTATTGGCGCCCCACCACGTTGTCGGCCGGAATGTGTCCTGAACTCCGAATGCGGACCCACGGAGGCGTGCATCAATCAAAAGTGCGGCGATCCGTGCTCTGGTTCCTGTGGCTTCGAGGCCAAGTGTCATGTTCTGAACCATCTGCCCATTTGCAACTGCATCGAGGGCTACGAAGGCGATCCGTTTGTGCGCTGTACCGAGAAACCAGAAGGCAAGACCCCGCCGCCGGTCGCCAACGATCCGTGCAATCCGAGTCCATGCGGCCCGAATGCCGACTGCTTTGCCGGTGAGTGCCGCTGCCAGAATAACTATCAAGGAAACGCCTACGAAGGCTGCCGACCCGAGTGTACCCTCTCGGCGGACTGTCCGCGGGACAAGGCCTGCATGCGGAACAAGTGTGTGGATCCCTGCCCCGGAATCTGTGGCAACAATGCCGTTTGCGAGGTGATGAACCACATACCCGTATGCTCCTGTCTGCAGGGCTACGAGGGCGATCCGTTTACCAATTGTCGCGTGAAGCTCATCGAAGATACACCTAAAGTCCAGGCCTGTGCTCCGTCCCCATGCGGCTCGAACAGCCAGTGCCGCGATGTCAACGGACATGCCGTCTGCTCGTGCCTGGAAGGATACATTGGGGCGCCGCCTCAATGCCGTCCCGAATGCGTGGTATCTAGCGAATGCTCTGCGCTACAGGCTTGTGTCAACAAGAAGTGCGTGGATCCCTGCGCCGCTGCTTGTGGCCTGGAGGCACGCTGCGAGGTCATCAATCACAGCCCCATCTGTGGCTGCCCTCCTGGCCGAACTGGAGATCCCTTCAAGCAGTGCACAGAGATAGCCGTGGCCCCGCCTCCAGATGTTAAGGAAGCCCCCAGAGATCCATGTGTGCCCTCGCCGTGCGGACCCAACTCCATATGCAAGCCCGATGAGCGAGGACCCGTGTGCCAGTGCCAGCCAGAGTTCTTTGGTTCGCCACCCAACTGCCGGCCCGAGTGCATTATCAATCCCGACTGTGCCTCGACGCAGGCCTGCATCAACAACAAGTGTCGCGATCCCTGCCCCGGCTCGTGCGGCACAAACGCCGAATGCCGCGTCATCGGTCACACGGTCTCGTGCTCCTGCCCAGCGGGATATGCTGGCAACGCGTTTGTGCAGTGTGTGCCGCAACAGGAGGAACCGGTCAAGCCGTGCCAACCTTCGCCTTGTGGCGCCAATGCCGAGTGTATTGAACGGAACGGAGCTGCTGCCTGCAAGTGCATCGACGAGTACCAAGGCAATCCCTACGAGGGTTGCCGACCCGAGTGCGTGCTCAGCTCGGACTGTACCACGGACAAGGCATGCATACGGAACAAGTGTCAGGATCCCTGCCCGGGAATTTGCGGCCTGAATGCCCAGTGCTATGCCGTGAATCATGTGCCCAATTGTGTCTGCCTCGATGGTCACACGGGCGATCCGTTTACCAACTGTCGCCGCGTGGAGCCCACAACGCCACCGCCAGTCGCCGATCCCTGCATCCCCTCGCCCTGCGGCGCCAACAGCAAGTGTCGCATTGCCAACGGACTGGCCGTCTGCTCCTGCCTGGAGAGCTTCATTGGAGCTCCGCCGAACTGTAAGCCGGAATGCACGGTGAACGCCGAGTGTCAGCCGAACAAGGCCTGCCACAAGTTCCGCTGTGCCAATCCCTGTGCAAAGACGTGCGGCATCAATGCCAAGTGCGAGGTGATCAATCACAATCCCATATGCAGCTGCCCCTCGGATTTGACAGGCGATCCGTTCGCCCGTTGTTATCCAGCGCCTGCCGTTGCCGGACCTAAGGATGCTCCGGAGTCCAAGACGCCCTGCCAGCCCTCGCCATGCGGCCTCTACTCGGAGTGTCGCGTGCGCGACGAGCAGGCCTCCTGCTCCTGCCTGCCCAACTACATTGGGGCACCGCCCAACTGCCGACCCGAGTGCATTGTGAATACGGACTGCTCGCCGAACCGCGCCTGCATTGCCGAGAAGTGTCGCGATCCCTGCGACGGCTCCTGCGGCATCAACTCCGAGTGTCGCATCCAGAACCACCTGGCCATATGCACCTGCCGCGGTGGATTCACCGGCGATCCGTTCGTTCAATGCGTGGAGATCATTGAGACGATCACGAAGCCTCCACTGAACGAACCACAGGATCCCTGCGACCTGCAACCGTGTGGAGCCAATGCGGAATGCCACGAGGGCACCTGCACCTGCTTGAGAGATTACCAGGGCGATCCCTATACGGGATGTCGTCCGGAGTGTACGCTGAGCACCGACTGCGCCCCCGTCAAGGCGTGCTTGAACAAGAAGTGCGTGGATCCCTGTCCCGGAGTGTGTGGCCAGAACTCGCAGTGCGATGTCTCCAATCACATACCGATCTGCAGCTGCCTGCAGGGCTACACGGGTGATCCGTTCGTGCACTGCCGCCTGGAGACGCCCGTGGCCAAGGACCCATGCCAGCCGAATCCCTGCGGTCCCAACAGCCTGTGTCATGTGTCGGCCCAAGGACCGGTGTGTGCCTGCCAGCAAGGCATGCTGGGCTCACCGCCCGCCTGCAAGCCAGAGTGCATAGTCAGCTCCGAATGCTCCCTGCAAACTGCCTGCGTACAGAGGAAGTGTGTCGATCCTTGCCCCGGCGCCTGCGGCCAGTTCGCACGCTGCCAAGTGATCAACCACAATCCATCGTGCTCCTGCAATTCAGGATACACGGGAGATCCGTTCACGCGCTGCTTCCAGGAAGAGCGCAAGCCGCCAACACCCACGGAACCATGTCAACCATCACCCTGCGGACCAAATTCGGAGTGTAAGGTGCTCAATGGAAATGCCGCCTGCTCGTGCGCCGCCACCTTCATTGGAACGCCACCCAGCTGCCGGCCCGAGTGCTCCATCAATCCCGAATGTCCACCGACCAAGGCTTGCATACGCCAGAAGTGCTCCGATCCCTGCGTGAATGCCTGCGGCTTCAATGCCCGCTGCAATGTGGCGAATCATCAACCCATCTGCACATGCGATGTGGGCTACACAGGAGATCCGTTCACCGGCTGTCAAAAGGAACAAGGTAGGACCCCGTTTTCATTTATCTTTTACGAATATCTAGTAGGTAGGCCAAGGCGTAAACCAGCTTTTTATACATACTTTTATGTGGTTTTGGTTTGCTGCTTACTGGGCGCCCAGTACAACATGCGCTCTAAAAATGAGATCTCGATCTGGAGCTTACATATATGCACACACCATACATTGTTTACGCCTTGGATGGTCCCTTCTTGAATGTGAAACTCTTTGAAATCCCCAAAGTTGAATTGTAATGAAAGTACCCCTCGTAAAAAACCCCTATACTTGAAGTTTCACATTCGTTCTTTGCGTATTAGAATAAATGAAGTATTTTTCCAAACACAAACTGCAAGTGCAAGCGCTGCAATTGCATATTCCATTTACTTTAAAGCACTATTTGTTTGCACTAACTTTTTTTGTATTCTCATTAGGGGTCTGCAAGAATGTATTATTAATTGGGGCACACAAACTCACTCATTCATTCACTGTTGGAATGGATGGAGAGCAGAATGCATTCATGCAGACCTCTTCAAGTCAGTTCCACCTCACTACGCGTGTTACTTGTTCTAATACGCTCCTTAGGCAGCACAAATTACATACATACAAATATATTCATTAAAATCTATGATTACCGCACTTACTGGCACAATGCATTGCAAAATGAAGTTTTCTACACCCGAATCGAATTCCACAATTTCACTTCGATACGCAAAATGCAAATTTCAACGAGCACGCAGTCTGTACGAACTGTCGGAGTGAACGTGACGCTGAAAGTGTCTGTATGCTGGGGGTAATCAAAGGTTTTGATTAGCTTTTAACTTTTAATATTTTATACTTGCTTTTGCCCCTAACGCCTGAATATACAATATGCAAACTTGTCACGCCTTTATTTTTGCTTCCTTACCAAAAACCAAATCCAAGCCGTATTATAATGCCTCCGCTCACCCACCAAAAAACAAAAATACCCGCCTTGACTCTTGGCTCCTAACCCCTGATGATATTGCTGTTGCCTCCGCCTTTTTTTGGGCGGGAACCAAATCTGTTGACATGCTTTTACCTAATTCGTTATTTGGCCCACCACACGACCATGTCTCTCCAGTTGCTTACTACCCCACAACACAAATTGAAACCTAACCCAAAAATTACCCGAAATTGAGTACTGCGTTGTTGTCCCCCCTACCAAAAGCAAAATCTACGTTACGCCAAAGATCTAAACTAAATTCTAGTCAAGAACAAATTAGAGTATTCAAATGTATAACATAAAACTGTAGTTTAACCAAAGAAATCAATAAATCCAAGGATATAACCCCTGCAATAGACAATTGTTTTACTTACGACACGAAAAAAAAGTAACGCCACTGCAATGGCACAACCACAGCACTTACACAACACTGCCACTACCACCGCACACACGCAGCGCACAGCGTTTAACAACACTAAGCCAAGCGGTAAATATCGCAGCACACACTAAATAAAGCGCTGCACTTGAAATGCAATTTTATTTGCAAATTTCGTTAACTGAAGCAAAATATAATGCCAACACCTAACTATACCGTAAACGTACTGTAATCTGTAACCACAATTGGATTAATCAGAGCCGCAAAGGCCAACGCCAGGTGTGTGTTGTACTGTACTAAACCCGAGATCCACTGAAGAATTATAATTAAAACTCTCTGACCTTCGTTTCTCCGTCTCTCCCACTCAAATCACTTTCTACCCCCCCTAACAAAAACAGAGCGCATTGTCAATGAACAGGTGACGCCCTGCGAACCCAATCCCTGCGGCTCGAATGCTGTATGTCGCGAACGCAATGGGATCGGCTCCTGCCAGTGCCTGCCCGATTACTTTGGCGATCCCTACCAGTCCTGTCGCCCCGAATGCATCCGAAACTCGGACTGTCCCACGAACAAGGCCTGCCAGCAGCAAAAATGTCGCGATCCCTGCCCCGGCACCTGCGGCACCAATGCGGACTGCAGCGTTACGAATCATCTGCCCACCTGTACATGCCGCATCGGATACATTGGTGATCCCTACCGCTACTGCCATGTGGAGCCAGCCCAACGTAAGATACCCACACACCCATCTGAGATCCATCGTGAGATTGTCCCGTCCCCCTTTCTAGCTATCCGTCTGGCCGAACCCGCACAACCCTGCCACCCCTCGCCGTGTGGCCCCAACTCTCAGTGTCGCGAACTCAACGGCCAGGCCGTCTGCTCCTGCATCGAGCTGTACATCGGTCTGCCCCCCAACTGCCGTCCCGAATGCGTGCTCAGCAGCGAGTGTCCCACGGACAAGGCGTGCATAAGTCAGCGATGCCAGGATCCCTGCCCGGGTACATGCGGCATCAATGCCGAGTGCCGGGTTCGGAATCATGGTCCACTCTGTCAGTGCCGTCAAGGCTTCACCGGCGACTCCTTTACCCGTTGTTATGCCCTGCCACGTAAGACCACCATCCACTCTATCTGCCAAACAGAGAGATCTAACAGACATGCAACCTCTTTAGCCCCGCCGCCTGTTGTTCAGCGTGTTGATCGTGATCCCTGCATGCCATCGCCCTGCGGCTTGAACAGCCAGTGTCGCAATGTGCAGGGCGTGCCCTCCTGCTCCTGTCTGCCCGAGTTCCTTGGAGCACCACCCAACTGTCGTCCCGAATGCACCATCAGTGCCGAGTGTTCCTCGAATCTGGCCTGCATCCGTGAAAAATGTATCGATCCATGTCCAGGGTCCTGTGGCTACGATGCAGAATGCAATGTGGTGAATCACACGCCCATTTGCGTCTGTCCCGTAGGCTATACTGGGGATCCGTTCAGCAGTTGTCGTCTGTCGCCACCCGAACCCGTTCAAAGTAAGCCTAATCCTTGATCCTTGATGCTGAGTCCCTCCCTAACTGCAAAACCCCATCGTACGTAGGTGAATATGTGGATCCGTGCAACCCATCGCCGTGTGGTCCGAACGCGCAGTGCTCCAACGGTGTCTGCAGCTGTTTTTCCGAGTTCCATGGCGATCCCTATGCCGGCTGTCGTCCGGAATGTGTCCTCAACTCCGACTGTCCCAGGGACAAGGCCTGTCTGCGCAGCAAGTGCCAGAATCCATGTCCAGGAACGTGCGGCGAGAATGCCATTTGCGATGTCATAAATCACATTCCGATGTGCCGTTGTCCGGACGGCACCGCTGGCAGTGCCTTTATACGCTGCTCTCCCGTCCAGCAAACTATTGTGGAAACGAATCCCTGCCGTCCATCTCCCTGCGGACCGAATTCCCAGTGCCGCGAGGTCAACCAGCAGGCGGTTTGCTCCTGCCTGTCCAGCTATATCGGTGCCCCACCGTCCTGTCGCCCCGAGTGTACCTCGAACGCCGAGTGCGCGCCCTCGCAGGCGTGTCTGAACCAGCGTTGCGGAGATCCTTGCCCTGGCACCTGTGGCGTAGGTGCCAACTGTGCCGTGGTCAGCCATAGTCCCTTCTGCACCTGTCCCGAACGCTTCACCGGGAATCCCTTCATCCGTTGTCAGCCACAAAGTAAGAAAGAGGCAAGCCCTAAGCGAGTATTGTCAATAATGTTTGTCCTTCCCAGTTGAACCCGTGCGTGATCTCGTCCCAGTCGAACCCTGTCGTCCATCGCCATGTGGCCCCTATTCCCAATGCCGCCCTGTTGGCCAAGAAGCCCCCGCCTGCTCCTGCCTGGAGACTTACATTGGACGGCCTCCGAACTGCCGTCCAGAGTGTGTAACGAGCTCGGACTGCACCAGCCAGATGACATGTGTCAACCAGAAGTGCGTCGATCCGTGTCCCGGACGCTGTGGTCTCAATGCCGAGTGTCGTGTAGTGAGCCATGCGGTGCAGTGCATCTGCCAGCAAGGCTTCACCGGCGATCCCTTCGTGCAGTGCAGCCCCGAAACCATCCGCGACATCGAGGTTCGCACTCCGTGCAGCCCCAGTCCCTGTGGACCGAATGCCGTTTGCCGTGATCGCAATGGCGTCGGTTCCTGCCAGTGCCTGCCCGAATATTTCGGAGATCCCTATGCCGGCTGTCGGCCGGAATGTATGCTGGACTCGGACTGTCCCTCGAACAGGGCGTGCCAGCAGCTGAAATGCCAGGATCCCTGTCCCGGAACATGCGGCCTGAATGCCCAGTGCCAGGTAGTAAACCATCTCCCAACCTGCAATTGCCTCACTGGATATGAGGGGGATCCGTACCGCCAGTGCACCAGAATGCAAGAGCGTAAGAACCGTCCCTTCCCTCTCCTTCCCTCATCCACTAATGAGAGCCCACTTTTAGCACCACAAAAAGAGTACGTGAATCCTTGCCAGCCCTCGCCCTGCGGCCCCAATTCCCAGTGTCGTGTGGCCAACGAGCAGGCCGTTTGCTCTTGCCTGCCCCTCTTTGTGGGAACTCCTCCCGCCTGTCGACCCGAATGCACCATCTCCTCCGAGTGTCCCAGCCATCAGGCATGTGTTAACCAGAAGTGCGTGGACCCATGCACCGGCGACAGCTGCGGCAGCAATGCCGTGTGTCGAGTGCGTAACCACAGTCCCATCTGCAGTTGCCTCAGTGGCTTCACTGGCGATGCCTTTACGCGTTGCTTCCCCATTCCACGTAAGTGTATGCCCACCCAATCCCGTAGAAGAATGCCAACTGAACGAAGAATCCGTCCTAAACAGCACCACCGCCCGAACGGATCCAAGAACCCCTGAGAGATCCCTGTCTGCCTACGCCCTGTGGACCCAATTCGGAGTGCCGCAACATCAATGGGGTGCCCGCGTGCTCCTGTTTGTCCAGCTTCATGGGGCAGGCGCCCAACTGTCGACCCGAATGCACCATCAACGCCGAGTGTCCTGCCAATAGGGCGTGCATCAATCAAAGGTGTCGCGATCCCTGTCCAGGGGCCTGCGGCCTGGATGCAGTCTGCAGTGTCATCAATCATACGCCACTCTGCGCCTGCATCGATGGGTATATCGGAAATCCCTTCACCAAATGTAGCCCCAAGCCACCAGAACCCACATCCCCGCCACCGGTCGCCGACGATCCATGCAATCCCTCGCCCTGCGGCTCGAATGCCGTGTGCCGCAATGGCCAGTGCTCGTGTATACCCGAATACCAGGGCGACCCCTACGTCTCCTGTCGTCCCGAGTGCGTGCTGAACACGGACTGTCCCAGAGATCGAGCCTGCGTGCGCAACAAATGCATAGATCCCTGTGCAGGCACCTGTGGCGTGAATGCCCTTTGCGAAGTAACCAATCACATACCCATCTGTCGCTGTCCCGACCGGACGTCCGGCAACGCATTCTTCGAGTGTCGTCCCGTGCCGGCGAAGCCCATCATCCAGCAGAATCCCTGCCAGCCAACGCCATGCGGACCCAACAGTCAGTGCCGCGTTGTGCAGAACACGGCAGTCTGCTCCTGCCTGAAGGACTACGTGGGCAGTCCGCCCCAGTGCCGACCGGAGTGTGTCACCAACTCGGACTGTCCGGCAGATCAGTCGTGTCAAAACATGAAGTGCCGTGATCCCTGTCCGGGAACATGCGGCTTCAACGCCCTCTGCAACGTGGTCAATCACAGTCCCTTTTGCAGCTGCCCCACGGGCATGTCCGGCAATCCATTCGTCAGCTGCCAGCAGCTGCCCCAACGCGATGATCGACCCCAGAACCCCTGTCAGCCCTCGCCCTGCGGCCCCAACTCCGAGTGTCGCGTCTCAGGAGACTCCCCATCATGTTCCTGCCTGCCAGAGTTCGTTGGAGCTCCTCCCAACTGCAAGCCCGAATGCATCTCCAGCTCAGAATGCCCCACCAACAGGGCCTGCATCAACCAGAAATGCGTAGATCCCTGCCCTGGACTATGCGGACAGAATGCCAACTGTCGGGTGTTCAGTCACACGGCCATGTGTCTGTGCGAGAGCGGCTTCACCGGTGATCCATTCACTCAGTGTAGTCCGGTCAGGGATGCCCCCGTGGAGGTACTGCAGCCCTGCAATCCCAGTCCCTGTGGCGTCAATGCCAAGTGCGAGGAGCGCGGTGGGGCTGGATCCTGCACCTGTCTGCCGGAGTACTTTGGCAATCCCTACGATGGCTGCCGCCCCGAATGTGTCCTGAACTCCGACTGTCCTTCGAACAGAGCCTGCGTGAATCAGAAGTGCCGCGATCCCTGTCCGGGAGTGTGCGGTCAGAGCGCCGAGTGCCAGGTGGTTAATCACCTGGCCACATGCAATTGTCTGATTGGCTACACCGGAGACCCCTACACCCTGTGTCGCATCGTAGAGAACGAACCACGTAAGAGTATCCCGTCCTCTGTCTCCCCAATGATCTTCTCTGACCATCGTGTTCCTTTTAGCCGTAGCCATCTATGTGAATCCCTGCCAGCCGTCACCCTGCGGTCCCAACTCGCGTTGCCGCGAGATCAACGATCAGGCTGTGTGCTCCTGCCTCCCCGAGTTCATTGGCAGTCCCCCGGCTTGTCGGCCGGAATGCACCAGCAGCTCGGAATGTGCCGCCGACAAGGCGTGTGTGAATCGCAAATGCGTGGATCCCTGTCCGAATGTTTGCGGTCAGCAGGCCGAGTGTCGCGTTCGCAATCACAATCCCATCTGTAGCTGTCTGAGCGGATACACCGGAGATCCATTCACCCGCTGCTACCGTCAGCCCCGTAAGCCACAAAGAATACTTCGAATACCATGGAAGAAATTCTATCAAACCCACTTTTCAGCTCCTCCTGAGGCACCTATTGAAAGAGAACCCCTTGATCCTTGTGTACCCTCGCCGTGTGGGGCCAATTCCCAGTGTCGCGATGTCTATGGCACACCCTCGTGCTCTTGCCTGCCCCAGTTCTTAGGACCGCCGCCCAACTGTCGACCCGAATGTTCCATCAATGCGGAGTGTCCCAGCCATCAGGCGTGCATCAATCAGAAGTGTCGCGATCCCTGTCCCGGCTCCTGTGGCCTCAACACCCAGTGCAATGTGATCAATCACACGCCCATCTGCAGCTGTCTTCTGGGGTATATCGGGGATCCATTCAGCGTTTGTAATCCCGAACCGCCGCAGAAAAGTAAGCCCCCTTCGGTCAGCCCTACACATTCAATGGAAATAATGTTTTATGTGTCTTCAAAATCCCAGTTCAAGATCCACTGCCACCTCAAGATCCCTGTTATCCCTCACCCTGTGGCTCCAATAGCCGCTGCAATAATGGCGTATGCTCGTGTCTGCCGGAGTACCATGGCGACCCCTACACCGGTTGTCGTCCCGAGTGCGTCCTCCACACAGAATGCGATCGTAGTCGCGCCTGTGTGCGGCACAAGTGTGTGGATCCCTGCCCCGGAATATGTGGAACGAATGCGATATGCGAGGTCCTGAATCACATTCCCAACTGTGGCTGTCCCGCGGAAATGCAGGGAAATGCCTTCATCCAATGTAGCCCTGTGCCACGTAAGCCCAATCCATCGACTGTCCCCCGCATTTGGAGTCCCTTCAAAGTCTTGGATATTACAGAACTCGATGACGTGCAGAATCCCTGCCAGCCCTCGCCCTGCGGACCGAATGCCCAGTGTCGCGTGGCCAACCAGCAGGCCATTTGCTCCTGCATCGCGCCCTTCATTGGCAGTCCACCCTTTTGTCGTCCGGAGTGCACCAGCAACGCGGAATGTCCCCTGAACCTGGCATGTTTGAACCAGAAATGCAGCGATCCTTGTCCGGGCGTCTGCGGCCGCAGTGCCCAGTGCCATGTGACGAACCACAGTCCTTTCTGTCGCTGCTTGGACCGCCACACGGGCAATCCCTTCGTCAGTTGCCAGCCGATCATTGAGCCGCCAGTGCCGCCGCCGCGTCAGCCATGCCTCCCCTCACCCTGCGGCGCGTATGCCCAGTGCCGGGAGATCAATGAGACGCCGTCGTGCACCTGTCTGCCCGAGTACATTGGCGCTCCGCCGAACTGTCGGCCCGAATGCGTTACCAGCTCCGAGTGTCCCACTCATCAGGCTTGCATCCAGCAGAAGTGTCGCGATCCCTGTCCTGGTCTGTGCGGCCTCTTGGCGGAGTGTCGTGTGCTCTCGCACACTCCCAGTTGCGTCTGCCCCGAGGGAATGGAGGGTGATCCCTTCACCCAGTGTACGGAGAAGAGAATCCAGCAGTTGGATCGATTGGACCCATGCAACCCCAGTCCCTGTGGCGTCAATGCCAGGTGCACTTCGCGCCAGGATGCTGGCTCTTGTCAGTGTTTGCCGGAATACTTTGGGAATCCCTACGAGGGCTGCCGTCCGGAATGTGTCCTCAACTCTGATTGTCCATCCAACAGAGCGTGTCAGCAGCAGAAGTGCGAGGATCCTTGCCCGGGAACCTGCGGCCAGAATGCCATCTGCAATGTCCTCAACCACGTGCCCAGCTGTAGCTGCCTCACGGGTTATTCGGGCGATCCCTACCGTCAGTGCCTGCTTGAACGCCAACGTAAGACATTAGACATAAAAATTCGCTTGGAGATCAATGCCTACAATCCCTGCTCTAATTTTTGTAGCCATCAAGGAGTATCTGAATCCCTGCCAGCCTTCGCCCTGTGGCCCCAATTCCCAGTGTCGTGAGTCCAACGAGCAGGCCGTTTGCTCCTGTCTTCCCGAATATGTGGGTGCGCCTCCTGTCTGTCGTCCCGAGTGTACCATATCCTCAGAGTGCTCGCCGGATAAGGCCTGCGTGGGCCAGAAGTGCATCGATCCCTGTCCGAATACCTGCGGAGAGCAGGCCACCTGTCGTGTTGTGAACCACAGTCCCATTTGTACGTGTCGCGCCGGTTACACGGGCGATGCCTTCTACCGCTGTGTACCCAAACCCCGTAAGTAGACCCCGGAACGACCAGGAGTCAGAGGTCCAAGTGTTTTAATCTCCCAATTTTACCCAAAAAGCTGTGCCAGTGGCTCCTCCAGTGCAAAAGACACCAGTCGATCCCTGTGTGCCCTCCCCTTGTGGCCCGTATGCCGAGTGCCGTTCGAATGGCGACGCTCCTGCCTGTTCCTGTTCGATTGGGTACTTGGGGGCTCCGCCCAACTGCCGTCCCGAGTGCCGCATCAATGCGGAGTGTCTCAGTAGAGAGGCCTGCATCAATGAGAAGTGTCGCAATCCCTGTCCCGGCTCCTGTGGCCTTGGTGCCACTTGCAACGTGATCAATCATACGCCCAGCTGCACCTGTCCGCCGGGATACACGGGCGATCCGTTTACCCACTGCCAGCCCCAACCTCCACCGCCACCACGTAAGACCTTAAGACCTTGTAGTTCCATTCAGAAATGCTTTAACGATCGGATCTCCTTAGCTGTGGAGCTAGATGATCCCTGCAATCCCTCGCCCTGTGGAGCAAATGCTCTGTGCAACGCAGGCGTCTGCACGTGCATCCCTGAGTACCATGGGGATCCGTACATCGGCTGTCGTCCCGAGTGCATCACCAGTTTGGATTGCTCGCGAGATCGGGCCTGTGCACGTCACAAGTGCTTCGATCCCTGCCCGGGCACCTGTGCCCCCAATGCCATTTGTACGGTCCTCAATCACGTGCCCATGTGCACCTGTCCGGAGGGGTATGCTGGCAATGCGTTTATCCAGTGCCAACCAGTGCCACGTAAGCATCCCAGACATCAGAAACTACTCCAAATTTCCAGAGAGATTCCAACCATTTCCTTCCGCCCTTCCCACAGCACCAATCATTGTCCAGCCGTGTCAGCCATCACCCTGTGGCCCCAATTCACAGTGCCGTGAGGCCAATGGTCAGGCGGTATGCTCCTGCGTGCCAGGATATATTGGAACCCCTCCACTCTGTCGACCAGAGTGCACCTCGAACGCGGAATGTGTGTCTCTCGAGGCGTGCGTGAATCAAAAGTGCGTGGATCCATGTCCTGGAGCCTGTGGCAGGAATGCCCAGTGTAGTGTCGTCAATCACAATCCCTTCTGCACGTGTCTGCCCCACTATACGGGCAATCCGTTTGTGGGCTGCCAGCAGATCATCGAGCCTCCTCAGAGGGAGGAACTCGTGCCACGCGATCCCTGTCGACCCTCCCCCTGCGGACCCAATGCCGAGTGTCGGGCCGTTGGGGACACAGCATCGTGTTCCTGTCTGGCGGAATTTGTTGGCTCTCCGCCGTACTGCAAGCCGGAATGCGTGACCAACTCCGAGTGTCCATCGAATCGTGCGTGCATCAATCAGAAGTGTCGCGATCCTTGCCCTGGTCTGTGTGGTATAAGTGCCATTTGTCGCGTTGTCTCCCACACGGCCATGTGCATCTGTGATGCGGGCCTCACCGGCGATCCCTTCACCCAGTGCCAGCCGATTGTCCACGATGTGGAGATCATCAATCCGTGCCATCCCTCGCCTTGTGGCTCGAACGCCGAGTGCATACAACGGAACGGAGCGGGCGCCTGTCAGTGCTTACCGGAGTTCTTCGGGAATCCCTACGAGGGCTGCCGTCCGGAGTGTGTCCTCAATTCGGACTGTCCTGCGAACAGAGCCTGCCAGCAGCAGAAGTGCCGCGATCCCTGCCCCGGCAGCTGTGGCCAGAACGCCGAGTGCAATGTCGTGAACCACACGCCCATCTGCAGCTGCTTCCCTGGATTTATAGGCGATCCGTATCGCTATTGTAGTCAACCGCCAGAACGTAAGCTAGTTCCAATTATCGCTATCCTTAGCAGTTGTACTAAATTTTGGTCGTAGTTAGTTACTAATTCCAAGCGTATATTGTATCCTAACCCAAACCACTAGCTATTGTCCATGACTACGTGAATCCCTGTCAGCCATCGCCCTGTGGCTCCAATGCCATTTGTCGCGTGGTCAACGAGCAGGCCGTGTGTTCCTGTGGCCCCGAGTTTGAGGGAGCCCCGCCCAACTGCCGTCCCCAGTGTACCTCCAGCTCTGAGTGTCCCTCCACCCAGGCTTGCATCAGCTACAAGTGTGCCGATCCCTGTCCTGGTGTGTGTGGCCAGCTTGCGATCTGTGAGGTGCGAAACCATAGTCCCATCTGTAGGTGTCCCCCGGCCATGATGGGCGATCCCTTCGTGCGCTGTCTGCCACGACCAGAGAGTAAGGAACGATCCAGAACTATGATCCAGAATGGTGTTAATCCTTTACGACCCTCGACAGTTCCTCCACCCCTAAGAGATGTGGCCCCCTACCGCGATCCCTGTGCACCCTCACCCTGTGGCCTTTACTCCACCTGCCGCAACCAACAACAGCAGGCTGTGTGCTCCTGTCTCCCGAACTACTTTGGCACTCCCCCGCATTGCCGACCCGAGTGCTCCATCAATGCAGAGTGTCCCAGCCACTTGGCGTGCATTAATCAAAGGTGTCGCGACCCCTGTCCCGGCGCCTGTGGCCAGCAGACCGAGTGTCGGGTGACCAATCACGTGCCCAGCTGTCTGTGCCTCCAGGGCTATGTGGGAGACGCCTTCTTGGCCTGCCACCCAGCTCCACGTAAGACCTTGACCTTAACCTCTTCAGAACTCTTTGCTAATCCCAACCCTACAGCCCCTCCAAGCAACGATGAACCCCGTGATCCCTGCAATCCCAGTCCCTGCGGCAACAATGCCATTTGTTCGGGCGATGGTCAGTGCCGCTGTGTGGCCGACTATCAGGGGGATCCCTATGTCTCCTGCCGCCCCGAATGCGTGCTGAGTGCCGAGTGTCCTCGGCATCTGGCCTGCATTCGCCAAAAGTGCACAGATCCCTGTCCCGGCACGTGCGGTGCCAATGCCATCTGTGAAGTCCAGAGCCACATAGCCATGTGCCACTGTCCCCCGGGAATGACTGGAAATGCCTTTGTCCAGTGCAGCGCCGTACGTGATGCAGTGGATGTCTACCGCAATCCTTGTAGCCCATCGCCGTGCGGCAGCTATGCCGAGTGCCGCGAGCGCAATGATCAGGCCATCTGCAGCTGCCTCCCCAACTACTTTGGCGTCCCCCCCGCCTGCCGACCCGAGTGCAGCAGCAACTACGATTGTGCACCCCATTTGGCGTGCCAGAACCAGCGTTGCGTCGATCCCTGTCCGGGAGCTTGTGGCGCCCATGCCCAGTGCCGAGCTGTCAGCCACAGTCCTTTCTGCAGCTGCAGACCTGGCTACACGGGCAATCCCTTCGTTCAGTGTCATAGGATCTGTAAGTCTAACCCCCAGTCCATCACCAGAAGTGTCACCTAATTATTGCCATGTGTTCCGTGTACAGTTGAACCTGTGAGGGATGTGGTGCTCCGAGATCCCTGCCAGCCATCTCCCTGCGGTCCCAACAGCGAGTGTCGGCCCGTGGGTGATACACCATCCTGCTCATGTCTCGCCAATTTCTTTGGCACTCCGCCGAACTGCAGGCCCGAGTGTGTATCCAACTCCGAGTGCAGCACGGTCCAAGTTTGTGTGAACAATCGCTGCAAAGATCCCTGTCCAGGGCTTTGTGGCACATCTGCAGTTTGTCGCGTCATTAGCCACAGTGCCATGTGCCACTGCCAGCCAGCATACAGCGGGGATCCCTTCATTCGCTGTGATCCCATTGTTGTACGTGATCCCATAGAGGTCCTGCAGCCCTGTAATCCGAGTCCCTGTGGCGCCTTTGCCGAGTGCCGGCAACAGAATGGAGTCGGCTCCTGTCTGTGCTTGCCCGAATACCACGGCAATCCCTATGAGGCCTGTCGTCCCGAGTGTGTCCTGGACTCCGATTGCGCCTCGAACAGAGCCTGTGTAAACCAGAAGTGCCGCAATCCCTGTCCCGGAGTGTGTGGCCAGAATGCCGAGTGCTACGTCCGCAATCATTTGCCCACCTGCAACTGCCAGAACGGCTATGTGGGAGATCCTTATAGCTATTGTAGCATTGAGACCAAACGTAAGCAGACATCAGAAATCCCTGTATCGCTCTATAGAGCTCTTCCCTCTCCCATTCCAGCCATTCGTGAGTATGTGAATCCCTGCCAGCCCTCTCCCTGTGGCCCCAACTCCCAGTGCCGTGAACTGAATGGCCTGGCCACTTGCTCCTGTCTGCCCGAGTACGTGGGCAGTCCGCCTGGCTGTCGTCCCGAGTGTACGGTCTCCTCGGAGTGTAGTTTGGACAGGGCCTGTGTGCGCCACAAGTGTGTGGATCCCTGTCCAGGTGCCTGTGGCAGCAATGCCAATTGTCTTGGAATGAACCATGCCCCACTCTGTTCCTGTCAGCCAGGCTACACGGGAGACCCATTCACCCGTTGCTATCCATTGCCTCGTAAGTCGCTTCTCCCCTCCCCAGAGAGTGTATGTCCTCTTAACATCCTTCCCATTCGATCAGCTCCCACAACGCATATACTCTACGACATTGTAAGCGATCCCTGCCAGCCGTCCCCTTGCGGTGCCAATGCCCAGTGCAGGCAGTCCCAGGGTCAGGCCATCTGTAGCTGTCTCCCCAACTACTTTGGTCTGCCGCCCAACTGCCGACCCGAGTGTACCCAGAGTTCCGAGTGCCTGTCCAGCCGGGCGTGCATCAACCAGAGGTGTGTGGATCCATGCCCCGGCTCCTGTGCCTACAACGCCCTCTGCACCACGCGTAACCATGTGCCGAGCTGTCAGTGTCCCCCCAGATATGTGGGAGATCCGTTCACCAATTGTTACCCAGAACCCCAGCCACCACGTAAGAATCGAATGGAAAAGCATCCTGCTGTAAACATCTCACAACCCCTACCTATACTCCACCCATAGCCACACCCATTGCCCTTGATGATCCCTGCCATCCCTCGCCCTGCGGACCCAATGCTCAGTGCTCGAACGGTCAGTGTTCGTGTATTGGGGACTACCAGGGGGATCCCTACAGGGGCTGCCGCCCAGAGTGTGTCCTGAATGCCGACTGTTCGAAGGATCGGGCCTGTGTGCGCCACAAGTGTGTGGATCCCTGTCCGGGTACCTGTGCCCCCAATGCCATATGCGATACGATCAATCACATCGCCATGTGCCGCTGTCCAGAGCAGATGACAGGCAATGCCTTCATCCAGTGCGAGTTCCCACCTGTGGCATTGACTCCACCCGATCCTTGCGCACCGTCACCGTGCGGCCCCAACAGCCGTTGCCGCGTACTCAACAACAATGCCGTCTGCTCCTGCATTGAGGACTATGTGGGTACGCCACCCAATTGTCGGCCCGAGTGCACCCACAATTCGGATTGTCTGCCGCGACTGGCCTGCCAGCGGCAGCACTGCATCGATCCCTGTCCCGGAACCTGTGGCTTCAACGCCCTCTGTCATGTGGTCAATCATGCTCCAATCTGCAGCTGTCCGCCGCAACACAATGGCAACCCCTTCGCGGGCTGCTTCCCGGAACCAGTGCGTCGCGATGAGGAACCCCCCAGGAACCCCTGTCAGCCCTCTCCTTGCGGACCCTATGCCCAGTGCCTTGCTCTGGGAGATCAGGCACAGTGTAGCTGTCTTCCCAGCTACATTGGAACGCCGCCCAACTGCCGGCCAGAGTGTGTGACCAATTCGGAGTGTCCCTTTGACAGGGCCTGCATCAGTCAGCACTGCCGCGATCTCTGTCCGGGCGTTTGTGGCTCCAATGCCCAGTGCCATGCGATAAGCCACGCCGCCATGTGCCATTGCCTGCCCGGCTTCACGGGGGATCCATTCACCGCCTGCCACCAGCCTCCGATCGTTCAACAAATCGAATATGTCCAGCCTTGCTCCCCGAATCCCTGTGGGGCCAATGCTGTGTGTCGCCGCGAGGGCAATGCCGGCTCCTGCCAGTGCCTACCCGAATACTATGGCAATCCCTACGAGGCCTGTCGTCCCGAGTGTGTGGCCGACAGCGACTGTCCATCAGATAAGTCCTGCCACCAGCTGAAGTGCCGCGATCCGTGTCCCGGGGTTTGTGCCCTGAATGCTGCCTGTCGCGTGATCAATCACCTTCCCACTTGTCATTGTCTCAGCGGATTCCTAGGGGATCCCTACAGCTACTGTCGTCTGCCAGAGAAACGTGAGTTGAAGATCTGTCTGTGTCCCAAGATTAGCCCTAACCCTACGCAAACCGTCCTTAGCTATTCTCAAGGAGTACGTGAATCCATGCCAGCCCTCGCCCTGTGGCCCCAACTCCCAGTGTCGTGAGAACAACGAGCAGGCCATCTGCTCGTGTCTACCGGAATATGTGGGGGCTCCGCCTAACTGTCGGCCCGAGTGCGTCTCGAATGGGGAGTGTTCCCGTGACAAGGCATGCCTCAATAAAAAGTGTGGCGATCCCTGTCCTGGAGTGTGCGGCTCCAATGCCGAATGTCGCGTCTTCCAGCATGCCCCCATCTGTAGTTGTCGTCCAGGGTTCACTGGCGATGCTTTCTCCCGATGCCTGCCCCTGCCACGTAAGAGAAGAGTCTACACCCAAGCAGAAGAAGAATCTGTAAATCTATCCTACCCCTTTTTAGCACCCCTTCCCCCGCTCTTGGATGTGTATCGCGATCCCTGCTTACCCTCGCCCTGCGGCCAGTATGCGGAGTGTAGAGACAACCAAGGCTCTGCCACCTGTACCTGCCTCACCGCGTACTACGGCACTCCACCCAACTGCCGACCCGAATGCACCATCGCCGAGGATTGTCCCTCGCATCTGGCGTGTCAACAGCAGAACTGTCGCGATCCCTGTCCAGGAGCCTGTGGCTTCAACGCCCTCTGCACGGTGATCAACCACAGTCCCACGTGTCAGTGTGCTCCAGGACTGATTGGCAACCCATTCACATCCTGCCATGCTCGGCCACGCGATCCACCACCACAACAGGATACCAGCGATCCCTGCGCCTCGATTACGTGCGGTGCCAATGCCGTCTGCCAGCAAGGAAGATGCAGCTGTCTGCCAGAGTTCATCGGAAATCCATTGATTGGCTGTCGACCCGAGTGCGTCCTGAGTGCGGAATGCGACTGGGACAAGGCGTGCGTGCGGAACAAGTGCATCGATCCCTGTCCCGGCACTTGTGGATCCAGTGCCATCTGTGAGGTCCACCGACACGTGGCCATGTGCCATTGTCCCCCGGGAATGACTGGCAATGCCTTCTCTCAGTGCCGACCACTGCCGCCGCCAGCTCAGGATCCCCCCATCATAGTCGATCCCTGTCAGCCCTCGCCTTGCGGACCAAATGCCCAATGTCGTCGCATCAATGGCCAGGCCGTGTGCTCGTGTCTGCCACAATTTGTGGGCATGCCACCATCCTGCCGTCCGGAGTGCGTAAGCAATGCGGAATGTCCGCTGCACTTGGCGTGTCTGCAGCAACAGTGTCGCGATCCCTGTCCGGGATCCTGCGGCCTCAATGCCGAGTGTCGCGTGATCAATCACAGTCCCAACTGCCACTGCATCCAATCGTTTACTGGAAATCCATTTGTGGCATGCCACCGTCAACCTCCGCCTGCACCTGCCAGGCAGGACCCTGTTCCGCTGGATCCCTGTCAACCCTCGCCGTGTGGCGCCAATGCAGAGTGTCGCGTCCAAGGAATCAACGCCCAATGCAGCTGCCTCGCTGGATTTGTGGGCACACCACCCGACTGCCGGCCGGAATGCGTATCCAACTCCGATTGTCCCACGAATCTGGCCTGCCGCAACGAAAAGTGCCGCGATCCCTGCCCCGGAGTCTGTGGCCTGAATGCGGAGTGCTATGTGATCAATCATACGCCCATGTGTACGTGCCTCGCTGGATACAATGGCAATCCCTTCTTTGGCTGTCAAGTGGTGCGCGATGTCCCAGAGACACCACTCAATCCGTGCGTGCCCAGTCCTTGTGGCGCCAATGCCGTTTGCAGCGAACGTAATGGAGCAGGGGCATGCCAGTGCCTGCCCGACACCTTTGGCAATCCCTACGAGGGCTGTCGTCCAGAGTGTGTCCTCAACACGGACTGTCCCAGCCATTTGGCGTGTGTCAATCAACACTGTCGCGATCCCTGTCCAGGCACCTGCGGCTCCAATGCCCTGTGCCAAGTGCGCCATCATCTGCCACAATGCCAGTGCCTAGCGGGCTACCAGGGCAATCCGTACACCTATTGCAGCCTCCTGCGTGATCGTAAGACACTCCTTGACGTTCCCTTGGCAGACTCACCCCACATTTTCGTCCTCCCTGCAGCCCTGCCCGAACCCATTGCCTCCCGTCCCTGCCAGCCCTCGCCTTGCGGACCCAATGCCCACTGTCGCGAAGCGAATGGTCAAGCTATATGCAAATGCCTGCCAGACTTTGTTGGATCCCCGCCTGCTTGTAGGCCCGAGTGTACCATCTCCAGCGAGTGCGACTTGACCAGGGCATGCGTGCAACACCACTGCGTCGATCCCTGTCCGGGGATCTGCGGCAGCAATGCCCAATGCCGTGTCCTCAACCACAGTCCGCATTGCAGTTGTCTGCCCGGCTACACTGGAGATGCCTTCAGTGGCTGCCAGCCGATCCGTAAGACTCCAATGATCCACCCTTTGGACTTTCCTAACACCAACAAACCAAACAAACCCTTTGCAGGACCCGTCATTAGCTATGATGCTCCGCCCAAGGATATCTACCGCGACCCGTGTGCACCCTCGCCCTGCGGCACCTTCGGCCAGTGCAGAGCACAGGGCACCCAGGCCGTGTGCTCCTGCCTGCCAGGATACTTTGGTGTCCCGCCTCAGTGCAAGCCAGAGTGTGTGATCAATCCAGACTGCGCCTCGCACTTCACCTGCATCAGCGAGAAGTGCCGCGATCCCTGTCCCGGCTCCTGTGGCCTGCTGGCCCAGTGCAACGTCATCAATCACACGCCCATCTGTAGCTGCCCCCCTGGCTATCAGGGCAATCCCTTTGTCAGCTGCAGACCCCAACCTCCTCCAGCTCCGGTTCCAGTACTACGGGATGCCTGCAATCCCTCGCCATGCGGCCCCAATGCCGTTTGCAGTGCCGGAGGACAGTGCAATTGTCTCGCAGAGTTCGATGGCAATCCGTATGTGGGCTGTCGCCCGGAGTGTGTCCTGAATTCAGAGTGTGCCCGGGACAGGGCCTGTCAGCGCAGCAAATGCGTGGATCCCTGTCCGGGGGCCTGTGGTGTGGGCGCCGTTTGTGAGGTGCGCAACCACATACCCATTTGCCTCTGTCCACCCGGGACTTCCGGAAATGCCTTCATCCAGTGTACGACCATCCTTGTTCAATGTAGGTTCCATTGGAAATGCTTTGTTGAAGAAACCCCTCCACCTAATTCATCCTCCCCCGTCTGTTGTTTAGCTTCTCCCGTGGAGCCCCCTAATCCCTGCCAGCCATCGCCCTGTGGATCTAATGCCCAGTGTCGCGAGGCCAACCAGCAGGCCGTGTGCTCCTGCTTGAGTGGATACTTCGGTGTCCCGCCCAGATGTCGACCGGAATGCACCATCAACTCAGACTGTGCCCCCCACTTGGCGTGCCTCAATCAGCAGTGTCGCGATCCCTGCCCCGGGGCCTGCGGACAATTTGCCAACTGCCAGGTCATCCGACATGTCCCGCACTGCAGTTGTCCCGCAGGATACGCGGGAAATGCCTTCTCCCTGTGTCAGCAGATACCACCAGCGGTTGTGCAGCGAGAGCCCCTCCCTGTGAATCCCTGTCATCCATCCCCATGTGGATCGAATGCCCAGTGCACGGAACAAGGCGATCAAGCCATCTGCAAGTGCCTTGAAGGCTACATAGGACCGCCACCCAACTGTCGACCAGAGTGCATAACATCCTCCGAGTGCCCGAACCAATTGGCATGCATCCAGCAGAAGTGCCGCGATCCGTGTCCTGGTTTGTGCGGACAGGCAGCCAGCTGCCAGGTCGTGAGCCATGTGCCCTCGTGCCTGTGCATTGGAGACTACATCGGAGACCCCTACACGGGCTGCCGTCCAAGACCAGCAATGGAACGAGACCAGATCAATCCGTGCGCGCAGAACCCATGCGGTAGCAATGCCATGTGCAGACAGCAAGGAGGAGCTGCGGCATGCCAGTGCCTGCCCGAGACCTACGGCAATCCCTACGAGGGCTGCCGACCCGAGTGTGTCGTCAATTCGGACTGCTCCGGCCATTTGGCCTGCTTGAACCAACATTGTCGCGACCCCTGTCCTGGTAGCTGTGCACCGAATGCCCAATGCCAGGTCGTCAATCACATCCCCAGCTGTAGTTGCTATCCCGGCTACAGAGGGGATCCCTATCGCCATTGCCATGCGGTGCCTATCCAGGCGGAACGTAAGCAACCCACCCTTTGCACTAACCCACAATCGACCAACACGTTTGCACCCTTCTGCACCCCTCCAGCAATCGAACCGGTTAATCCCTGCCAGCCCCCGCCCTGTGGTCCCAACTCTGAGTGTAGCGTAGCCCAGGGACAGGCTGTCTGTCGCTGTCTGCCCGATTACTATGGCTCGCCGCCTGCCTGTCGACCCGAATGCACCACCAATCCCGAGTGTCCCCACGATAGGGCCTGTGTGGCCAGACATTGCTCCGATCCGTGTCCAGGCGCTTGCGGGCAGAATGCCATTTGTCAGGCGCATCAACACCGAGCCCTGTGCTCCTGTCCGCCCGGCTACACCGGCGATGCCTTCACCCGATGCCTGCCATTACCTGCTCGACCTCCCCATCAACCCATTCGACAGTCGTCTCCTGTAGATCCCTGCGTGCCCTCCCCCTGCGGACAGTATGCCCAGTGTCGCGAGGAGTACGGACAAGGTGTCTGCACCTGTCTGGACTCCTACTACGGCACTCCTCCCCACTGTCGACCCGAGTGCACCCTCAACTCCGACTGTCCCGGCCATCGGGCGTGCATCAACCAGAAGTGCCGCGATCCTTGCCCCGGTGCCTGCGGTCTGTACGCCCAGTGCTCGGTCCTCAATCATGTCCCCACCTGCTCTTGTCCGCAAGGATACCTTGGAGATCCCTTCTACCGCTGCTATCCAGCGCCAGCTCCGTCTCCGCCTCCAGTGACTCCTATTGTTGTTGAAGATGATCCCTGTCATCCTTCCCCCTGTGGTCCCAATGCCCAGTGCTCGAACGGCGTCTGCAGTTGTCTGCCACTCTACCAGGGCGATCCCTATGCGGGCTGTCGTCCCGAGTGCGTGCTGAGCACAGAGTGTCCCTCGGATAAGGCATGCATACGCAATCGCTGCGTGGATCCGTGCCCGGGAACTTGTGGCTCCGGAGCCCACTGCAGAGTCCAGAATCATGTGGCCCTGTGTCACTGTCCGGACGGCCAGCAGGGAAATCCTTTCGTGCTTTGCCAGCCAAAGCAGCAGCAGGATTCACCCATTCAGCTGCATCCCTGCCAGCCATCGCCCTGTGGCGCCCATGGACAGTGTCGAGAGATTGGTTCTCGCGCGGAATGCACCTGCCTGCCTGGCTATTACGGCAGTCCGCCCGACTGTCGGCCAGAGTGCGTCAGCGACTCCGAGTGTTCCCCGAGCCTCTCGTGCGTTAACCAAAAGTGTCGCGATCCTTGTCCTGGCGCCTGTGGCTATCTGGCCGAATGCCATGTGATCAACCACAGTCCGCAGTGCGTTTGCCCGGCAGGGTACACGGGCAGTCCGTACTCCCAATGCCAGGTTATCGGTTTAGCTCCTGTCCAACGGGAACCCATCGATCCCTGCCAGCCAACTCCCTGCGGCCCCCACTCACAGTGCAGCAATGAGGATGGCCTCAATGCCATCTGCCGCTGCCTGCCCGAGTATCTGGGCGTGCCACCCTACTGCCGACCCGAGTGCATTGCTAACAGCGAGTGTCCCGGCGACAGGGCGTGCATCAATTGGAAGTGCCAGGATCCCTGTCCCGGTCTCTGCGGCTACAATGCGATCTGCCGGACGTACAATCACCAGCCGAACTGTGTTTGTGCCCCCGGGCTGGTGGGTAATCCATTCAACTCGTGTCTGCTGCCAGCACGTCGGCCCTCCTACGAATCCCCCGCGATACCCCCCACAACGGCCATAGAAGTACTGCAACACGATCAGCCCATCCGCAATCCGTGCGAACCGAATCCCTGCGGGGCCAATGCTCGATGCAGTCAGCAGAGAGGCATTGCCTCGTGCGTCTGTTTGCCGGATTACTACGGCAATCCCTACGATGCCTGCCGTCCAGAGTGTATTCTCAATTCCGACTGTGCGTCGCACAGGGCGTGCGTGCAGCAAAAGTGTCGCGACCCGTGCCCCGGCACCTGCGGCCTCAACGCCGAGTGCCACGTCCTGGATCATTTGCCCCATTGCCAGTGCTTCAGCGGCTACACGGGTAATCCTCTGGTCTACTGCGCCCCGCTGCCCGTTGTCCAGGAATGTAAGCATCCAACATGCAATCCCCCATCGACTCCCAGTCTAATCCTTTCGTCCGCCCCAGCACCCTTAACTCCATGTGATCCCTCGCCCTGTGGACCCAATGCCAGGTGTCAGCCATCGAATGACCAAGCCGTTTGCTCCTGTCTGCCCGATTTCTACGGAACCCCGCCCCAGTGTCGTCCCGAGTGTACTTTGAACTCAGAGTGTGCCCTTGACAGGGCGTGTATCCATCTCAAGTGCGTCGATCCCTGTCCAGGAATCTGCGGCTTGAATGCCGTGTGCCGGGTGCATTATCACAGTCCCATCTGCTACTGCATCGCCTCGCACACCGGTGATCCGCTCACCCGTTGCTACGAGATCCCCACCAGACGTAAGAATACAATCGCCGATAGTATAAACGGTTCAAAGCCTAACAACCCCAATCCCTTGGTCACTCATTTCCCGACAGCCGCGACAGCCGAAAGACCCCAACAGATATACGACACCCCATCACCACCCTATCCAGTTGCAATTCCCGGATTGGTGTACATTCAACAACCGCAGCCGGGAATTGTCAATATCCCCAACCAGCCACCCATCCATGATGTCCAGTACCCAAGACCACAATACCCTCCACAATCAATTCCACAACAACCAGGAGTTGTAAACATCCCCACGTATCCTTCGCCACAACCGACGATTTCCAATGTTCCGTCACCCGAAACACCGATTCAACAGCAGCCTGGAGTTGTCAACTATCCATCTTCGGTTCCACAACAGCCAGGAGGAATAGTAAATATTCCTTCTGTGCCACAGCCCGTGCCTGTAGTTCCGAAACGACCAGTATTTATACCAACGCCGGCGAACGCCACACCTGCACCACAGCCTGGAATAGTGAACATTCCCTCCGTGCCACAGCCAGTGTATCCGTCACCCCAGCCGCCCGTTTACGATGTGAACTATCCCACGCCCCAGACACCGAGTCACCAGCAACCTGGAGTTGTCAATATTCCTTCAGTGCCACACCCTTCGCCGCAGCCAGGAGTCGTTAATATACCTTCGGTGCCCCAACCTGTCTACCCATCACCCCAGCCACCGATCTACGATGTAAATCATCCTACGATTCCTCATTCTCAACCGGCACCCGGAATTGTGAATATACCTTCCGTACCGCAACCGCAACCGACACCTGCACCACAGCCGGGAGTGGTTAATATTCCTTCTGTACCGCAACCGACACCTGCACCACAGCCGGGAGTGATTAATATTCCTTCTGTACCGCAACCGACACCAGCACCACAGCCGGGAGTGTTTAATATTCCTTCTGTACCGCAACCGATACCGCCGTCGCATCAACCGCCAGTTTATTTGTCAACACCCTTGAACTCTGTGCCACCTGCACCACAGCCAGGAATAATTAATATTCCCTCTGTACCGCAGCCCCGGCCTCCCATTCATGGCGTCCATTATCCAACGCCTCAGACACCGATCCCTGAAAGACCTGTTGGTGTTGTAAATATACCATCCGTGGTGCAACCAGTGTATCCCACACCCCAGCCGCCAGTTTACGATGTGAACTACCCCACGCCACACTCCCCAGTGCCCCAGAGGCCAGTGATAGTGAATATCCCATCTCTGCCGCAGCCTGTGGCACCTGTATCGCAACGTCCAATATTTACACCGTCACCTGTGAGCCCTGTGACACCTGCACCACAGCCGGGAGTGATCAATGTTCCTTCTGTGCCGCCGCAACAAGTGTATCCCTCCCCTCAGCCGCCGATTGTGCAGAGCCCTGCCATATACGACGTGTACTATCCACCGCCGCCGTCGATACCAGGTGTCATCAATATACCCTCGCCTCCCCGGCCAGTATACCCGGTGCCCCAGCAACCAATATATGTTCCGGCTCCACCAAGGCCAACTCCACACCCACAACCACAACCGGGTGTAGTAAACATTCCTTCGATGCCACAGCCTACGTATCCGCATCCGAATCCACCCATTCATGATGTTAGCTACCCGACACAACGACCAAGTCCCGTGCCGGGTGTCATAAACGTGCATTCTGTGTCACAACCAACTCCTGTGCCAAATCCTGTGCCTGGAGTGATCAATATTCCGTCACAACCATCACCACCGAATATTGTACCAACTCCCGGAGTTGTAAACATACCTTCAGTGCCACAGCCCACGTATCCAACTTATAATCCACCGATCCATGATGTTAGCTATCCAACACCGCAACCAATTCCCTCTCCTGCACCAGGAGTTGTAAATATTCCTTCCGCGCCACAGCCAGTGCCGTCGTCGATTCCTGGTGTGATCAATATTCCGTCACAACCATCACCACCGACAGTTATAGAAATTCCTGGAGTTATCAACATTCCTTCAGTGCCACAGCCTACATATCCAACACAGAATCCAACACCTATTCAGGACGTTAGCTATCCAACACCACAACCAAATCCTATTACAGGAGTTATAATCGTGCCTTCTGAGCCACATCCAGTTCCTTCATCAACGCCAAGTGTGATCAATATACCATCACAACCATCACCACCGCATGTACCAGCTCCCGGAGTGGTAAACATTCCTTCGGTGCCACAGCCCACGTATCCGTCACAGAATCCACCTATCCAGGACGTCAGTTACCCAACTCCCGTACCAAAACCTGTGCCTGGAGCGATCAATATACCATCACAACCATCACCAACGATTTATGTACCAACTCCCGGAGTGGTAAACATTCCTTCGGTGCCACAGCCCACGTATCCGTCACAGAATCCGCCTGTCCAGGACGTCAGTTACCCAACTCCCGTACCAAAACCTGTGCCTGGAGTGATCAATATACCATCACAACCATCACCACCGATTTATGTACCTACTCCCGGAGTGGTAAATATCCCTTCGGTGCCACAACCTTCTCCTGCGGCACCCCAACAACCTATGTTCGATGTCAACAACGAGACTCAGAGGCCACAGCCACAACCCCAACCTACACCTGGAATTATCAACATACCATCCGTAGCACAACCAGGACCCACTCGTCGACCCAACTATGGTGTGGCAAGGCCCGTTTTCGAGTTCAATCCCTGCTACCCATCGCCCTGCGGACCGTACTCGCAGTGCCACAATCGCTTTGGAGCGGCCGCGTGCGTCTGTCTGCCCAACTACAGAGGAACTCCGCCCAACTGTCGGCCGGAGTGTGTCGTCCAATCTGACTGTCCCTCGGCGCTGGCGTGCATAAATGAAAAGTGTCGCGATCCCTGCCCGGGATCATGCGGCTATGAGGCAGTGTGTCGAGTGCATGAACATGTGCCCCATTGCTTCTGTCGCTCTGGATACACAGGAGATCCTTTCGTTTCCTGCCAACCAACACCGATACAGCATGAACCCATAGTCCAAAAGGATCCCTGTTATCCTTCGGTATGCGGACCCAATGCGGTGTGTCATGATGAGAAATGCCGTTGCCTGCCGGAATACCGAGGCGATCCCTACTTTGGCTGTCGTCCAGAGTGCGTCCTGAACACAGAGTGTGCCCGGGACAAGGCATGCATCAATCAAAAGTGCCAGGACCCCTGTCCAGGAACATGCGGACTGAACGCACTCTGCCATGTCTACAACCATTTGGCGACCTGCTCCTGCCCGGATAGAATGCAAGGCGATGCCTTTGTGCGCTGCGATCCCATCCCAGCCACAACAGAGCCGCCTCCAACCACATTGCCCGCGGTGATACCACAGCGTACGCCCATCAATCCGTGCCGACCTTCGCCATGTGGAACCAATGCCAACTGTCGGGCCTATCATGAGCAGGCGATTTGCTACTGCCTCCCGGGATACATTGGCACACCACCCGCCTGTCGTCCCGAATGCACCTCGAACTCCGATTGTGCTCTGGACAAGTATTGCCTGAATCTCAAGTGTCACGATCCCTGCCCGGGGGCATGCGGCATACGGGCCATATGCCACGTGCAGAGCCACAGTCCCCGCTGTCTGTGTCCGCCCCATCTCACGGGCAACCCCTTGCTATCGTGTCAGCCCATAGGTATGCCGGAGAACCCTCTAAACCCAAACTTAAACCCAAACCCAAACCCCATCCTGATCTCACGTCTTACTCTTTCAGTTTTGCCACCACCTCCTCGCGACGAAGTTAACCCATGTCTGCCCTCACCTTGTGGCCCCCACTCCGAGTGTCAGGCCACGGCAGGCGGCTCTGCCCGCTGCTCATGCCTGCCCCAATACCCCAGGGGAACCCCACCCCACTGTCGGCCCGAGTGCGTAAGCAGCGCCGACTGTCCAGCCGACAAGGCATGCAGAAACCATAAGTGCATCGATCCGTGCCCTGGCACCTGTGGCCAACTGGCTCTTTGCCGTGTGGTGTCCCACAGCCCCATCTGCTATTGCCCCGAGGGCTACGTGGGCAATGCGTATAGCATTTGTGCTCGTCCTGCGCCCGTGAGGGATGTGGTTGTACCTGTGCCTGTACCTTGCCAACCCAGTCCTTGCGGCATCAATGCCATTTGTCGACCCAACCATGATATGAGCGTATGCCAGTGTCTGCCCGATTATTACGGCAATCCGTATGAGATCTGTCGCCCCGAGTGTACGGTCAATTCGGATTGCAGAAGTGACAGAGCGTGCCTCGGCGAGAAGTGTCGCGATCCCTGTCCCGGTGCCTGCGGCCCCAATGCCCATTGTCTGGCCATTAATCACAGCCCCGTCTGCGAGTGCCACGAGGGTTTTATTGGAAATCCCTACCTCGCATGTCGTAGGGTGCAACATGAACGTAAGAAACGAACTCTAAGAATCGCCCTAATCCTAATGCGTCTCTTTCCTCTTGCTCTAAACAACAATGCAGTACTCAATTCTCAGTCTTATGCCTTCTCAGCCCTCTCTATATGCCGTCATCTCCTTGTAACCTTAAGCATCATCGTTAAACCCCTAAATCCATCGAGTCTCTTATCGAATAAGCTACCTCCATATAAACCCGATCTTAATGCCACTTCCACTCTCTCTAAAAAACAACGCAGTGCTCAATTCCTTCAAAATTCAGCTCTAAATTCTCAGTCTTATGCCTTCTTAGCCCTCTCTATATGCCGTCAAGGAGATGACGGCATATAGAGAGGGCTAACCTTAGGTAGGCAAGGTAACCTTAAGCATCATCGTTAAACCCCTAAACCCATCCAGTCTCTCTTCGAATAAGCTACCTCCATATAGTCCCGATATTGATGCCACTTCCGCTCTCTTTGAAAAACAACGCTGTGCTCAATTCCTCCAAAATGCAGTACTCAATTCTCAGTCTTACGCCTTCTCTTTATTCGGTCATCTCTTTATCATCGGTAAACCCCTAAATCCATCGAATCTCTCATCGAAAATGCTAGCTCTTTGCCATAATGCGACTTCCAAACAACGCAGTGCCCGACACTTAGCCTACCATAGGGTACATCTGATAAAGTCTATTAAACGTCGTGGGCATGGTGCTGTTTATTTTTGCTCCTTGCCCACCGTTGCCGCCCTGAACGCTTTCGAATTTCGCGTCTAAAATGCTCTGTGACAATATGCTAGCTTTTTACGAAACTATATACGCTTTTGGTTGCCTTTTTAATCGCTAAACGCTTCGCCATGGTCATGTGATTTGTACGAATTCTAAATACTCCAATATTCTCAACCTCCTAAATAGCCACGCCTCCGGAATACGTGAATCCCTGCCAGCCATCGCCATGCGGTGCCAATGCCCAGTGTCGCGAGTCCCAGGGCCAGGCCATATGCTCCTGTCTGCCCGAGTTTGTAGGCACGCCGCCCGCCTGCCGTCCCGAGTGTGTGATCAGTGCCGAGTGTCCTGCGGACAAGGCGTGCATCAATCAGAAGTGCCAGGATCCCTGTCCCGGCTCCTGTGGTCTGAACGCCCAGTGTCATGTGAGGAATCACAGTCCGCTCTGCTCGTGTCTGCCCGGGTTCACGGGCGATGCCTTGACCCGCTGTCTGCCCAATCCCCCACCACCAAAGCCACCAAAGTCGGAGGACCCTCCTCGTGATCCCTGTTATCCCTCGCCCTGTGGACCTTACTCCCAGTGTCGGGAGGTGAACGGAGGAGCCAGCTGCAGCTGCCTGCCCAATTATGTGGGCGCTGCTCCCAACTGCCGGCCCGAGTGCACCATCAATGCGGAGTGTCCCAGCAGCCAGGCGTGCATCAACGAGAAGTGTCGCGACCCCTGTCCGGGTGCCTGCGGCTTTGCCGCCCTCTGCAACGTGATCAATCACACGCCGAGCTGCTCGTGTCCCAGTGGCTATACCGGAGATCCATTCACCAGCTGTCGGATCGTGCCACCAACGCCGCCCCCGACGAGTATGCCAGCCCTCCATTTTACAGCCCCCTATGTGGTCTCTTCTAATCCCGGCCAAACCTCTTTTACAGCTCCGATCTCCGATCCGTGCCAGCCGTCACCCTGCGGCGCCAATGCCCAGTGCCGCGATGGTCAGTGCTCGTGTCTGCCCGAATATCAGGGCGATCCGTACACTGGCTGCCGGCCCGAGTGCGTCCTGAACTCGGACTGTCCGAGGAACAGGGCCTGCGTGCGACAAAAGTGCGTCGATCCCTGCCCAGGAAACTGTGCACCGAATGCCCTCTGCAATGCCGTCAACCATATTGCGATGTGCCACTGTCCTGAGCGAATGACGGGCAACGCGTTTGTGTCCTGCTCCCCGCTGCGCGATGAGCCCCCAGCGCGTCCGCCCAATCCCTGCCATCCATCACCATGCGGAGACAACGCCCAATGCCTGGAGAGAAACGACGTGGCCATCTGCTCCTGCCTGGCGGGCTACTTCGGTCAGCCTCCCAACTGCCGTCCGGAGTGCTACGCCAGCTCCGACTGCTCCCAGGTGCACGCGTGCATCAACCAGAAATGTGTGGATCCCTGTCCAGGACAATGCGGTCTCAATGCCATCTGCCAGGCGGTGCAGCACAGAGCGCACTGCGAGTGCAGTCCCGGTTACACCGGCAATGCCTACTCCCAGTGTCATCTCGTGATTGTGCGAAGACCCGAATCCAATGCTGTGCGCGATCCCTGCTACCCATCGCCCTGCGGCCCCAACTCCCAGTGCAGCAATGAGAAGGGTCAGGCGCAGTGCCGCTGCTTGCCAGAGTTCCAGGGCACACCTCCCAACTGCCGACCCGAGTGTGTCAGCAACGACGAGTGCTCCAATAGCATGGCCTGCATCAATCAGCGCTGCACCGATCCCTGTCCCGGCAGCTGTGGCCAGAACGCCCTATGCGTGGTCCGGCTGCACACGCCCAACTGTCAGTGCCCCAGCGGCATGACCGGGGATCCTTTCCGCCTGTGCCAAAGTAAGAATAAGACTCTCTCCTTCCCCACCGCCCATGCCCATTCCCATTCCCCGACCCCGAAACAAGTTTGCATATTGTATTCAGGCAGGGACCGACCTCCACCTGTAGGATTCCATTTAACCAAATTTTTCCGTAATCTTTACCCTTTGCAGAACCACCATTGCAGGAGCCACCAGCCACACCGAAGAACCCCTGCTATCCATCGCCCTGCGGCACCAATGCCGACTGCCGTGTGACCGGCCAGAGCTATGTGTGCGAATGCAGCCAGCAGGAGTATATAGGGAATCCCTACGAGGGCTGTCGCCCCGAGTGCGTGGGCAACTCCGAGTGTCCTGCGAACAGGGCCTGTGTGCGCAGCAAATGCGTGGATCCCTGCCCGGGAGTGTGCGGCCTGGAGGCGATGTGCAACATGAACAACCACATACCGATCTGCTCCTGTCCGGCAGGATACACGGGCAATGCCTTTGTGCAGTGCACGCGCCTGCTGGCCCCACCACCTGTCTCCGATCCCTGCTATCCCTCGCCGTGTGGACCCAACTCCGTGTGCCGAGTGCAGAGCGAGAAGGCCGTGTGTGAGTGTTTGCCAGGATTCTTTGGGAATCCTCTGGCCCAGGGCTGTCGCCCGGAGTGCACTCTGAGCTCGGACTGCGCCAAGGATAAGGCCTGCATCAATGCCAAGTGCGTGGATGCCTGCGTGGGCGAATGCGGCTACGGAGCCGTATGTCAGACCATCAACCACAGCCCCGTCTGCAGTTGCCCCGCCAACATGGTGGGTAATCCGTTCGTCCAGTGCGAGACACCGCGCCAAGCAGAGCCAGTGGATCCCTGCAACCCATCGCCCTGTCGCAGCAACGGCATCTGTCGTGTCCACAATGGCGCTGCCACCTGCAGCTATCCTGAGTGTGTGATCAACGAGGACTGCTCCCGCGATCGCGCCTGCGTTAGCCAGAAGTGCCGCGACCCGTGTCTGCAGGCCTGCGGCCTCAATGCCATCTGTCGTGCCATCAACCACAAAGCTGTCTGCAGCTGTCCACCCGACTTCTATGGCTCGCCATACGCCCAGTGTCTGCGGCAGATCCCACAGCTGGAGCCCCCGAAGCCGGAGTGCGTCAGCGATGCAGAATGCACCAATGACAAGGCCTGCATCAACCAGGTGTGCAGAAATCCCTGCGAGCAGACCAATCTCTGCGCCCAACAGGCCCGCTGCCATGTCCAGCTCCATCGTCCGCTGTGCGTCTGCAACGAGGGATACTCGGGCAATGCCCTGCAGCATTGCTATCTACTCGGCTGTCGCTCCGACACCGAATGCGCCCCTACCGAGGCCTGCATCAACGAAAAGTGTGTGGATCCCTGCAGCTTCACCCAGTGCGGCGCAGGAGCCACCTGTCGCGCCGACTTCAACCACCGCGCGCGCTGCCACTGTCCGGATGGATACCGCGGCAATCCTCTGGTGCGCTGCGAGCGACCGGAGTGCCGAAGCGACGACGAGTGCTCGTTCCATTTGGCCTGCCGCAACGAGAGATGCGAGGATCCGTGCAACTGCGGCATCGGTGCCCAGTGTCGTGTGGACAACCATCGCGCCCAGTGCCGCTGCCCGGCCGGCTTCAGTGGAAATCCCGCCATACGCTGTGACCTGGTGCCCGTGCAACCCGAGGGCTGCACCATGGATGCCGAGTGTCCCAGCAAGCTGGCCTGCTTCTCAGGCGAATGCAAGAACCCATGCGCTGTGACCCATCCGTGTGGCGCCAATGCCATCTGCGACGTGGTCGACACACTGCCCCTGCGCACCATGACGTGCCGCTGTGAGCCTGGCTATGTGGGTGATGCCGACATTGGATGTCGCAAAGGTGAGGCATCGGTCCAAGTCCAGGATCGATCATTGATTAATTCTGCTTTTTGCTTTACTTTTGAGTTTGCTTCTCTCTCATTGCAGCAGAGTTTTAGTTGTGTGTAAAGTGCTGAAAAATATAATATATATATCTCTGATTCTTTGATACCCGATCTTTCGAGCATATATGCACCACCTTTGCAGTTGTACATATATTAGCAAGCACTCTATAACTCTTAACTCTTGCACATGCCAATACCATGTCTAATTGTACTACCAAAACCCTGCTAATCTTTTGCATTTTCCTCTGCACTAGAACCCGCTCAAGACCTGGGCTGCACATCGCACGATCAGTGCCAGGATACGGAAGCCTGTCGCGCTGGCAACTGTGTCAATCCCTGCCTGGATGGCTCCCCTTGCGCCCGAACAGCCCAGTGTCTGGCCCAGCAGCATCGCGCCATTTGCAGCTGCCCTCAAGGCACCCAAGGAGATCCGTTCACCAATTGCTACCAGCCACGTAAGACCCATTGAAGCCTCTATATCGATTGCGTTTTATTTATGATATGGTCCTATGCAGCTCAAATCACAGCTGGATGCACACACGACTCTGAGTGCACGCCAACCACGGCGTGCATCAATAAGCGTTGCCAGGACCCATGTGCCGAGGCCAATCCTTGTGCCGGCAATGCCGAATGTCGTGTGCAGAACTCTCGTCCCACATGCTACTGTCCCGCTGGCTGGGGCGGTGATCCGCAAGTCCAATGTTACAAACGTAAGTGGAGAGACTCTTGACAAGTCCTAAGATACCTAAACAAACTCTTTATTTCACAGCTGAATGCAAAATCAATGCCGATTGTCCCTACGACAAGGCTTGTTTGAACGAGAACTGCGTGAATCCCTGCACCCATGGACAAGTGCGTTGCGGCAGTGGAGCCCAATGTTTGCCACAGAATCACCAGGCTGTCTGCAGCTGTCCGGCCGGCACTCAGGGCAGTCCCTTCGTGGCCTGCATAACCGGCCATTGTCAATACAACGAGGATTGCGCCGATCACGAAGCCTGCGACCGCCTAAACCGCGTTTGCCGGCCCGTCTGCGAGCAGGAGACCTGTGCTTTGAACGCCATCTGTGTGGGTCGACGCCATCAGCCGCAGTGTGAGTGCCGCGCAGGATACCAGGGCAATCCGTTTGTCCAGTGCGATATGCCACAGCGAACCCCACAGGCTCCGGAGTGCACACAGGATGCCGAGTGTCCCTCAAAGCTTGCCTGCATCAACGAACGCTGTGCAGATCCTTGTGCTACTCCTCATGTGTGCAGTCCCCAACAGACCTGTGCCGTCCTCGATACCCTGCCACTTCGCACCATGATCTGCAAGTGTCCCAGCGACACGGTCACCGATAACGCGGGCAACTGTGTGGCCATCAGGAGACCCATTGCCCCGCCCAGTGGTGGCTGTCAGCACAGCTCCGAGTGCGCCAATCCTGAGGTCTGTTCGAATGGAAACTGCCTGGACGCCTGCCGCCTCGAAAAGTGTGGCGTCAATGCCCAATGTACATCGCGGGATCACTATGCACAGTGCAGCTGTCCCGCCGGCTACCAGGGCAATCCTCGCATCGAATGCTATTCCACAGAGATCGGCCTGCCGAAGAGTCCAGAGCCAGGCTGTACGCGAGATGACGACTGCCCCAGGGACAAGACGTGCCGCAACGAATTGTGTGTGAGTCCATGTGCTGCGGATGCCTGCGGCATCGGTGCCTACTGCCATGTGCAGCAGAGGAAGGCCATCTGCCGCTGCCCGCCTGGCTATTCGGGCAATCCCAAGGATCGCTGTCTGCCACGTACGTACACAGCTCATAAAGTCCCAATTCCAATAGATTGTAATTCCAACACTTTCCTTCGTACAGCTTCTGATGTGATAACCGTCGGCTGCAAGTCCAGTAGCGATTGTCCTGTGACAGAGGCGTGCATCAATGCCCAGTGCGTCAGTCCCTGCAACTGCGGACCGAATGCCGAATGCAGCGTTAAGAACCATCGTCCCATCTGCTACTGCAAGCCAGGATTCTCGGGCAATGCCCAGTTCGGCTGCGTGGCCATTGGCTGCCAATCGGATGACGAGTGCAGTGGTGACAAGCAGTGCTTGAATCGCGAATGCATCAATCCTTGCCTGGTGGTCGATCCCTGTGCATTGAATGCCGAATGCTACGGACACAATCATCGTGCCAACTGTCGTTGTCCCGCTGGCCTGGAGGGAGATCCATTCGTGCGCTGTCTGCGCCTCGAATGCCACTCGGACTACGACTGTGCCTCGAACCTGGCCTGTGTATCCAACCAGTGCGTGGATCCGTGTGGCCAACAGAATCCCTGCGCCCAGAATGCCATCTGTCAGGCCCTGCAGCATCGAGCCGTCTGCCGCTGTCCGGAGCAAATGCCTCTGGGCAATCCGTATGCCTACTGCGAACGCCGACCCGTGGAGCCCGTGTGCCGCGATGATGGTGACTGTCCCAGCGGTCTGGCCTGCATCGATGCCAAGTGCCAGAACCCATGCACCGAACTCTCCCCCTGTGCCCGCACCGCCCAGTGCAGTGTCCTCGATAGTGTCCCAGTGCGGACCATGGTCTGCGAGTGTCCCGAGTCCCAGGTGCCAGACGCCAGTGGCGAGTGCCGCCAACTGGTGCTGGCCAGTCCACCGGGCTGTGAAAGTGACCAGGATTGTCCCGACCAAGAGGCGTGCATCCATCGCCAGTGCCGCAACCCATGTAACTGTGGCACCAACGCCATCTGCCAGGTGACCCAACATCGTGCGGTTTGCAGCTGCCAGGATGGCTTCGAAGGCAATCCCTATGCCGCCTGCCGCTCGATCGGCTGCCGCGTGGATGGTGAGTGCGATTCTGGCAAGGCCTGCATCAACGGCGACTGCATCAATCCCTGCCTCATCAACGACCCCTGCGGACCCAATGCCGAGTGCTTCGTGCAGTCAAACCACGCCCAGTGCCGCTGCCTCAGCGGATACCGCGGCAATCCGTACGAACGCTGCCGCATCATCGGCTGCAGCAGCAACAACGACTGCCCCACGGACAAGACTTGCCAGAACGAGCAGTGCGTGAATCCCTGCGTCTACCACAATGCATGTGCCCCGCGCGCCGAGTGCCGCCCCCAGAACCACCTGGCTGTCTGTCGCTGTCCTTCCGACTTTGTTGGCAATCCTTACGTGGACTGCCGTCCCCAGCCGCAGCCCGTCTGCGTGCTGGACACGGACTGCCCCTCGCGACAGGCATGCATCAACGAGCACTGCGTGGATCCTTGCCTCGTCCTGGAGCCCTGCCAGCGGCCTGCTCAGTGCCAGGTGACGCCCACGTCCCCAGTACGTACCATGATCTGCATCTGTCCGGATGGATACATCAGCAGCGGCAGCGGCAGCTGCAAGCCCACTACCGGCATCGTCAAGGTGGGTGGTTGCATATCGGACTCTGACTGTGCCGCCGACAAGTCCTGCCTGAACGGCATCTGCCGCGACCCGTGCAACTGCGGCGTGAACGCCGAGTGCCGCATCAAGGACCACAAGCCTGTATGCACTTGTCGCCAGGGCTACGAGGGCAATCCCGAGTTCGAATGCGCCAAGATCGAGTGCAACATCAATGCGGACTGCCCCGGCACGCATGCGTGCCGCAACCAACTCTGCGTGCCCGCCTGCCAGGGTGAACAATGCGGCTCCAATGCCCAATGTTTGGCCATCAATCATCGGGCCGTGTGCGAATGCGCTCCCGGTCATGGTGGAAACGCCCGTCTTGGATGCACGCCACTGGGCTGCCGCACCGACGACGAGTGTCCCACGGACAGAGCGTGTGTGAACGGCAAGTGCAACGATCCCTGCGCTACAACGGCCATCTGTGGCCAAGACGAACTCTGCAAGGTCTATCAGCATCGTCCGCAATGCGCCTGCCCGCCCGGTACTGTACCCGGACGCAATGGATGCGAAACGGAACGCCATATCCCCATCTGCATTAGCGACGGCGACTGCCCCAGCCAGAAGGCTTGTCTGCGTGGCGAGTGCGTGAATCCCTGCAATGCCACACAGCCGTGCGGCGTCAATGCTGAGTGCCGCGTGCGCGACACCCTCCCAGTAAGGACCATGATCTGCGAATGCCTCGAGGGCTACACCGGCAATGCGGCTGTGCAGTGCGACAAGCGATCGCTCTGCGTCATCGAAAAGGGCTTCGTGCGCGATGTGGACGGACAGTGTGTATGCCCACCGGGCACCGCTCTGGACATTTACGAGTACTGCACCCCTTGCCAAGTGGAGCAAGGCTTCCGCATCGACGAAAGCGGCCATTGCATATGCGCTCTAGAGCGTGGCATGGTCATCGACGAGCGTGGTCGCTGCACCTGTCCCATTGAGCTGGGCTACAGCCTGACGCCCCGAGGAGAGTGCCAGCCGGAGGAGCCGCCAGAGTGTACCACCAACGACCAGTGCGCGGACAATCGGTACTGCAATCTGGATACCAAGACCTGCGAGGATCCCTGCCTGACCAAGGTGTGTGGAGTGAATGCCTTCTGCAATGCCATCAACCATCGTGCCCAGTGCCAGTGCATTACGGGCTACACGGGCAATCCGGAACTGCATTGTAACCACACCAACTTCCGCACCGACTTCCCCAGACCCGACATGGTCGTCAGCTGCCTGGCCGATGGTGTTCAAGTAGAAATCCACATCACAGAGCCCGGCTTCAATGGCGTGCTTTACGTAAAGGGCCACAGCAAGGATGAGGACTGCCGTCGTGTTGTCAATCTGAACGGCGAGACGGTGCCACGCACCGAAATCTTCCGCGTGCACTTCGGCAGCTGTGGCATGCAGGCGGTGAAGGATGTGGCCAGCTTTGTCCTGGTCATCCAGAAGCATCCCAAGCTAGTCACCTACAAGGCCCAGGCGTACAACATCAAGTGCGTCTACCAGACGGGCGAGAAGAACGTAACCCTAGGCTTCAACGTGTCTATGCTGACCACAGCTGGAACCATTGCCAACACCGGTCCACCGCCCATCTGCCAGATGCGCATCATCACCAACGAGGGCGAGGAGATCAATTCGGCCGAAATCGGCGACAATCTCAAGCTGCAAGTGGATGTCGAGCCAGCCAGTAAGAAATTGAACCCCAAAACCACATCTGAACAGTATCCTAACCGTATCCGCCTAATGTTTCTCCCCACAGCTATTTATGGTGGCTTTGCCCGCTCCTGCATAGCCAAGACCATGGAGGACAATGTCCAGAACGAGTATCTGGTGACAGACGAGAACGGCTGTGCCACGGACACCAGCATCTTTGGCAACTGGGAATATAACCCGGACACCAACAGTCTGCTGGCCAGCTTTAATGCCTTCAAGTTCCCCTCGAGCGACAACATCCGATTCCAGTGCAACATACGCGTCTGCTTCGGCCGATGCCAGCCCGTCAATTGTGGTGGCTACAATGCCTTTGGGCGACGTCGCCGCTCTATAGCCGACAACTCAAGCGACACGACAGCCATTGCCACCAACTCAGGGGTTGAGGGTCAGCTACGCGAGGAGATAACCATCTCATCGAATGCTATTCTCACATTCGAGAAGCGCAGCGGTCCAGGCCTGAATGATGCCAACAGTGAGTAGTAGCCCCCTAGGGATGATTCCAATGGGATTCCTCTCATTCTCATTTTCACACACTAACTTTTTACCTTTCGTGCCATCCTCTAGTCAAACCGGCGGCACAGCGAGTGGAGGATATATGCGTTTCGATGGTGGGACTGATCATTGCCTTGGTTATCACGGCTCTATTGGCTCTTGTGGCTGTCGCCGTGGCCGTCTCCTGCTGGCTAATGGCCTACAGAAGGCGACCAAAGACCATAGCCCCGCTGCCACATCCGCCAGAGTTCCCCAACCCACTCTTTTCCAACCCCGACGCTGTGCCCGAGCCAACGCCAGACTACATCTCCTAAACACAACACTGGAAACACACACACCTAGCTATAAAACCTTAGTCGATAAGAAAAATAAGAAAAAACACCAATACCAGAGAAAAAGGGTAATCTTCACAGAAGTTTAAATTAATGTGAATATTTGAGAGGCACGTGCAAAAAGTTCTGCAAAATGCAAAACATCTAATGATATTTCAATGAAAATGTGAAGAATGAATCAAAGAAAAACAAAAGTACGTTTGTGAGCAGAAAGAGGAAAAACGGGCCGGACTAATGGCCGTAAAACGTAAAACGAAAGAAAACGAAAGTGTAAAAAGCGAGAATTGTATGTAAGCAAAATGCATGCAAATAATAATAGTAGCTTAAGAAAATAATTTTATTATTTGTATTAACGTTTAATGTTCTCTCTTTCCCACTAATATGAGAATTTTGCGTAGTGTAGCAGTAGCCGAGTATTTAGCTTCCACATGCATATGTAGAATCCAATCCAGAAACTGCCAAACAGAAGATGTAGGAGAAGCGGGGGTACCCAGAGTGCAGCTACAAACGAATTCTCGTCCTCTAACGACAACTTCTTCATTAGTCGATTATCAATATTAATATTCTGTTATATATATTACGATGATATATATGACTAAAGACTTCCTATAAATATTTAGGGTGTGGGTAGTACCAACGACACTTTGTATTATAGCACAGAAACACAAACACACACACACACTTCCTGTAACTTTAAACGTGAACTCAACTCGCCTTTTAAAATTGAAAACTGCCTTGATTTTCCAACACGAACGAACAATGCACCCCAGAATACTCTTTCTCTAGCAGTATGTAAGAAATCGTTGGACCTTTCGCGTGTGTCAGCTATAACCACTTGACAATATGCCAACGATTGTCTCTGATGGATTGTACAAGAGCTCAAGAGTTTAACACACACACAGATGCACACACACACACACTCTAAGCTCGAAGCACACGGAAATAGTTCTAGAAAGAATATTTATATAACCTTTCACTGCCACTGAGGCGTCAAGCAGCGCACAAAACGATACATACTGTCCATCTAATGCATAGGAAATACTAGGCTTGTTTTAATTTTAATTGCAACGACGACGACTAATGGAGGATTTGATTTTGACCACTGTCCACCCACGACTACTTACCACTGTACCATTGTACCACTGTACTACTGTACTGTACCACTAGCCTCTACTATGGTTAACCAATTATTTTTGTAGTTTCTTAGTCAATTAATATTAAATTGTTGTGATTGTTTTTAATGCAAAAGAGATACTTCCACTAAACTTACTAATATGTAGGGAACCAAGTATAAAGAATACTTTAAAAGGCAACGAACCAGCGCGCCCTTCCTCCCCCAGAACCCTTCCATCGTCTATTTCCCCCAGCAAGGAGAGTCCGCTGCTGTCAACGCACCGGAAACTACGCAGCGAATTTTCGTTTCCGGTGCCTGTTCATACAGCGCCACTGTACTTGATGGGAGTTAATTGAGAGTATAGGGATATAGAGGGGTGATGATCAGCCTGGATAATTAAATTATTAAAATGAAGTTTTAAATAAATATTATTAAACGTAAACAAAATGTATAGTCACTACTTTAAGCCGAACGTGAAGCGTTTAGAGACAGAAGAGCACTTCTTTATAGTGAAATACCATAAAAATATATAAACTCGCACTCAGACACGTACACAAAGAGACAGACATTGTAAATAATACGCAGGCAGCAAAACTATGGTATTTTAGGTAGCGCATTATTGTGTATAGGTTTCCATACTTTGATCCTCTCCCAAATCAGAACCCGATCCAAGCCAGGCATAAAATTATTTTCTTAATTCCACAAACACATGGGCGCACTTCGATGTACCTAAGTGAGTGCACAAATTATTTCAAATGATAACCTAAATGATCACAATTACCAAACACTTTTATTTTTCTTTTATAACTTTAACAAACATGTACCATTTTATCCGAGCTCTTTTATAGAGCTCCAAATAGAGTTCCATCTGGACAAAACTTTTTGCACTGGCAGCAAATATGATAAATTCGAAAGAAAGTAAACCCTTATTGTAAAAAGAACACAATAGTTCAATTGTAATTATAAAGAAATGTATTTAAAACGACAAAAAATGAGAAACGAAATTAATTGTAATCGCTTATTGTAAACTAATAAATAAATAAATAAATATAAATCACAAAATGTCCTATTGAATTTAGAATTAATACGTAGAACACTCGAATATCAAATCTGTGTCAACTATCATCTCTGAGATACTGCTGTATCTGTGAGACGCAAAACTGTAGCTTCTTTTTGTTGCTTTTATACCCGTAATCAAAATTAATATGCATAAGCATTTGGGGAGAGTGGAGGTGGTCTGGCAGCCGCAGAACGAGCTTAACCCGCTTACCCCAAGCCCCACTTCCATTCCCAGTTCATTATTCCCATTATGGGTATGGCTGGCTGGTCTGTTGTTCTGGTTGTAGTATCTTTGTTTGATAATGGAGAGCCAGAGCCCCCACACATGAAGAGCACGAGCACCATATGGAGAGTACCATTCCCCACGAGAGAATGAGAGAGCGGATCGTAGTGATTGTGGTGCCGCCACCGCCGCCGTCCACGTAAAGTGTAAACGATATTCGCGAGCGTGGATGGGATCAGTTGACATTTGACAGCGCGCGTGGTGGCACGTTTTGTGGGGCCATTGTCTGAAGGGAAATCCATAATTCAGCGCGTATACCCCGGGCCGCGAATTAGTCGAAAGTTTGGTATCTTTTGAAGCTTCAAAGTACTCATAAAATCGCAGTCGCACCGACTCTCGCATTGAGTATCAAGTACCGGTATATCTTGATTCCGGGCGACTGTCGTTGCCGGGTAATTGATACAATTCCATATAATGTGTGTTGATTATGTTATTACGAGTATTATGATGGAAATTAGGCAACAAATGGGGAAAATAAATAAATAAAACTACAGAAAAAGTGAATCCCAGCAAAGTTGATTGTATTTGAGCTGGCAACAAAATGAATGAAATTACCATTATTACTGTCAATTGCAATCGTTCTGATTACCATAATTAATGTGTGTGATTATATTTCGGTTAGTGTGTCGTGTTTTCGATTGCGGTGACTGTTTTGTGACCAACAAAACCATCAATAAAAAGTTCTTCAATCTCCGTTTGTTTGAGCCCCGACAACTGGACAAACAATAGTTGTATAATGGCATACTTGCCCTATCGATTGATAGTTGGCGGATGGGCCACGATAGCTCTCATTAACAAGTCCGAGTGCTAATTTTTGTATGGTCGAACAAGCGACAGTGTGAAAACTCGTAGAACATTTGCTTTATGATGCACAAGATCCATATAAAGTTTACGATATATATTCGAACGTCGCGTATTGGATGACAATTTGTGTCCCATTGTTAGACAAACAACAATTAGTAAAACATTTCTCACTATTGGGGTTTTCTCATGATTTTGGCCGCACTGAGAACACCCCACAAAGAAAGTCATTATATTCTACACGGATCATAAGTGATTGATTGATCCAACCAAATACTGATGTATCCACAATTGGCAATGTCATCCCAAGACAAAAGATGGTCTCAAAAGTAATCTTTTAAGAGGCTTACGGCACACAGTTATGTAAAAATAATACCCCACCTAAGCCCAACACTTGCATACACCAATCTATTTAGTATTTCAAATTCCAAGCTTAGTCAAACATTTTATATTCGTGCCTCGCGCTCTGCCAGACAAAATTTACATACAACTTGGGGAACAGGCCAGACCAGCTTATTGCTATTGCTGTTACAATGAAACCCCCTTGGCGTGTCAGACACTTGATATGCGGGACATATTTTGTACGAGTATTGTCGTGTAAGATGCGTAATTATTAATTGACGCATAGCTTTGCCATTCTCTTCGAATTCAGTGACCCTTGGATACCGCAAAGTCAGTGGAGCAAACAACAGATCAAAAAGATCATCGCATGCTTATGACGCGTACTGTCCGTTCATTTAAATCCATGGAAACTTTTATTTCAATTTGTTTGAATTCGGCAATCGGGCAGGAGAGACTATCTTGATATGGTTAAACCATCACAAATGAAAGCAGGCAAAGAAATTCTGCCACATAAGGTGCTGCTCAGCGAGTGGGCACAGTCTACCGATAAGATACAAATTTGTATCTGCCAAGTCAAGTGTTAGTAGCTGTCTGTGTGAGTGCTGTGTGAAGAGCTCGTGTGAAGTTTTATCTCTGGCGGAGATAAAATTAAAAAAAAAATGGGACAAAACTTCAGCTTGTTTATTTATATGAAAAAATAAGAAGAAATACATATATACAAAATGTACATGAGAGTCCGAGTGAATTCTTTAGAAACTTTCGTTATGTCATGATTATCGAAAAACTTAAGCTTTGTTTGTCTGAGGGTGCTCTTAGGCTGCACAAAATAGTTTTTCTTAAGGAAAGTTTTTTCATATAAAGATGATCCAGAAACCGGCAAGAGTATGATCTGTCTTCTGCCATGTATATTTCTGCTTTGCTACTGATTTATTTCAATATGACTTGAAAGCCTAATCCTAACATACCACAGAGAACGGCAATAACAAGATTGTTATATTCAGGGTTTTTCTATGTGATTTAAAGGCAGCCCCGACAAGATCCCGCTGAGAGAGTCGCAAACGCTGCAAAAGACCCGGCCTCAGATTGTGAGCATTAAAATGATACGAGTAGATACGAAAGCAGAAACACCAGCAAGCCAGTGCAAACATCAGCAGATGCCGCAGTCCAACATGGTTTTATGATCAGCCCCAAAACGCAACCCCAGCAGCTCGAATTTGCGCAGCAACAAACCAGCAACCAGGAGGAGATCACAGACCAGATCCCAGCAAAAAAAATCCAACAGCATGTCGGACAGCAATGAAAACTCTGGCGGACTGGCGAAGACAGCCTCCTCTCCCACTGCCCTCAATCTAGTGACGAAGCGCTCCACGCTTCGACACAGCCAGCTGTCGGACAGTGGTGCCGAGAGTTGTGGCGACGGCGGCGACGAACAGGCGCGTCTCATACGCTCGTCCTCCTCCCGTGCCCATAAGTACATTATAATACCGGCCACACCCACACCCGGAGCGACTGCCACGGTGACCTTCACCCTTGACGATTGCGATCCGGCGATCCCGGCTCCCATCTCGCCCACGCCCGCGACCCTGACCTGCACCACCACCACGACAATGTCCGGGGATACGGTGGCCGTGTCGCCGCTCAGCATGGATCTGCGCCGGATCGGCAGCCACAGCAGCAGCATGCGCTCAGTTGTTTCAGGTAAGGAGAGAATTTGAGAAGGGTATTCATTATAAGTCCTGAACATTTTTCGTTAGAAAATGAATATTTTCGGTATGGATATCCTCCTTAAAATATTCATTAATGATTTCAATTGAAGCAGATGTACTTTGTATAATAATCTTATTCCTTTATAAAATCATTTAAAATATATTCTACAAATTACCTTTAGGTTACATGCCTGCCCTTAACGACAGCAGTGGCAATCTTGTGGGTGGCAGTGCGGTTGCCACTTCTGGGCTGCATGCCCCCAATCCGCTGTATATGCAACCGCAGGCCTCGCTGAGCGGCAGTTCCTATCTATTTCACGATTTGCCCGCCCAACAGATCTACTCGGATGTGACATCGGTCCGCTCCCTTGCCTCCATTGGCATTGGATCCACAGACGGACGGAAGTTGGTCATACGTCGAGTGCCGACCACCGCCAACGAGCTGTTCGACATGGTCAATCCCCAGACACCGCCGTAAGTTATCGAGCAAATCCATAAACGTAGACAGCTGCGAACGAGTACAATCAGCCCTATCTACGGCCATTAGCATTACAAAGCGGAGCCGATAAAACGAACTAACATTTGTGGCAAATTTGGCCAGCGTTTGGCACCTCAGCATAAAAAGCAAATGTTGGCATAGCCTCATGGAGCATTCAAACAGCAGGCAAACAGAGAATTTTAACACCATTGTGGCATCTCTGGTCGGGGACATGTGATAGCGCCTCTGGGGCGCTGGAAACGTGTCGGAGGCAGCCACCAGCTATTTTTAAGCAGTGTTCCTTAACGAGATCAATAGATTGATATTTGTATTGATTCGAGCAATTACCACGCCCCATTGTGCTCCAATATATAGCGGCTGGCTGGATTGCTGGAATCTGAAATCTGGCGGCCAAGCGCCCGGATCAGTAGTCAGTAACGTGTCAGCCCGCAGACGACGCAGTTATCCCAGTTCCGTAATCTTATCCGTAGCCCTGTCCTTGCTTGAGCGTGTGTAGAGTGAATCCAACAGTGATGGCCGCATGGATAACGTGAACTAAGGACATATCATAAAGTTACTCTCGCATACACCACGCTATATACCGAGATCAGACCCGTAGTAGACCGCATTATAATGCCCTACCGTCAGGACTACGATGCCCAGTCATCGAAACACTCGGAGCAATCCACCTTCCGCTTCCAACGTGTGGCCAAAGTGTAAGAATCGATCGCTGGATCATTACGTAAAGCCCCAATCGAATCGCATCAGGCCATGTCTGCTGCCTAAAAGTGTTTGGTGTTGATCTACATACATATATCATATATGTACATATGATCATAGCCTTATTAGTTTAGGCCATTAGCGAATAAGCGCTGATTAAATATGAACGAATATTAAATGGATAAGTGGGCTGATCTGAACAATGAAATACAAAGCAATCCCTAATATACACAAGGACCCTGTTTAGATTCAGATTAAATGTCTGATTTGTGGTGGCTAGAATTCTTTATAACAAAGGGGAAACAGAGATGCATCGCCTCCCACATCACACCCCATTCAGCATTCTGTCCCCCACTCGCATCAGTCCCATCATCTGATCCGCTGATTCCATGGCAACAACTGGCCCAACACCAGCACCTCACGGGGCCAGCCCCCATTGGGGTATGGGGCATGTGATTACTGCAATTAAGCCATTTGACGCAACAACTAATCGCGGTCGCTGTTTGGGTGCTCGCGAAATCTGTTAGGGGTGCACTGCCTACGGACTAAGTGTTGACATCAATTGGATGCGCCTGGCTGGGCTTATGACACCACAAGAGCTCCACTTACAATAGCTCTTCTCCTCTTTGCAGGCCTCTGGGCATCGATGACGATGACAGCTACATGGATATGTCCGACGACGCTGTGCAGCTGAAGCCACGCCAGCAGCACTGGGCCAACAAGATGCAGTTTGTCTTGGCCTGCATCGGATACTCGGTGGGTCTGGGAAACGTCTGGCGCTTTCCCTACATGTGCTACAAGAGCGGCGGTGGTAAGTAGAGTCTAAATAGATCTTACATTACTTCCTAGAATTCAAAATCGGATCAATATCTGTTCGGATACGGCGTAAGAACTCCAGAATGCGCTCCAAGAAAGCCGCTCATGCGATAAGGCAGATACATATTTACTTTGATTTCGTGCGACAAGAAGAACTTTTAGTTGCTCTAAAAGCATTTGACAATTTTGCGCTTTAAGCGGCATTTCCGCTCCAGCGTTTAAAAGCCATAAATTAAAATTTAAAATAAAGCGGTCACTGTCATCATCTGGACAACGTCTTCCCGTACATTCCTCCCTCCCTCCCACCATCCATGGTGGATGATCACGCGAGTCACTTGGATACCCGCGTCCGTCTTCATTTACTTCGGTCACTCGGTCTCTGGCTCGTATTCGGACTCGGAGTCGGACCTGGTGCCCCATTTACGTATATAATGAGCACAAGATCTCTTGATAATGATGGAAAAGTAGGGAGAGAGAGATACTCGTAAGCCCGTACGGCCTTATGCAATTTGCAATTGTTGATGTCAAATATTTATAATTAATTTAATTTATTTATTTAGCTGCTGTCACATTTGTGCGCACATTTACATACAGACCCGTATCTAATTTTTGTTTTTGCTACTGATATTTCCAGGTGTTTTTCTAGTGCCTTATTGCATAATATTGTTCATATGCAGCATTCCGCTGCTATTTATGGAGCTGTCTGTGGGCCAGTACACTGGCCGTGGACCCATCGGCGCCCTGGGTCAACTATGTCCTTTGTTCAAAGGTAAGTTTACGACGAAGCGACGTAGAAAACTTACAAATTCGTATCATTCCGATGTTGATCATATTTAGATAAGGCATTGAAAAGCCATTAGATCACACGAGGGATGGGGAGTCTCCACATCTCATGGGTAATGGGCTAACTAAATTCTCGGAACTTTTAGAGCCAATTCGAAATAAAAGCTTATTTGAAATAAAATTCATTGCGTCATTTGTGAAAATGCTTCGGGTTTCACAAATATTCTTCCGCCGCAATGAATTAGGCAGGAAAACAATGGAAAAACGCGGATGCGGGGTGAGGCTTACGCGTCGTACCATGACCAGCTAGAAAGTGTCGCTGCCTTGGCCAGATCCATTGCCAAGGTCGGTTAGATTAACAAAAAATATATGTACATACATATATGCATGTGTACTCGCATGCTCATGGATGTGTGAGCGATGTTTTTTAGCTTTGAATTCCCCCGTGGGGTGCTCTACTTCAGTACGGACGGAAACTAATTAGCCGGATTCATTGTTGTCGTTGTGGCAGTGGCGTGAAAATTTGAGGCGCGGAAGTAAGCTCCCGGCTCCCGTCTCTAACGCCTCCACACTCGGACCGGGCCCAAGGCTGAGGTTGTCAGTAGGGTCATAAATCTGAAAAACAACTTTACAAAACGCTTAATTATTGTCAATATTTTGCCAACCAACCGGCGTTGGTTGCCGACACTCCCACTCGCAGCCCTAAGATAATAAATATTAATTTGTGTAAAACTACTTAACCAAGATTCGCGAATGGTTTCGAGTCCATCCAATTGTCGCTGTGGCAAACAGAACGAATTGCACATTATGCAGATGATCGTCAGTCTAGACACTAAGCATGTGGTACCAAATGAAACCGGTCGGATTTGCTGCTGGATGAATTAGGAATATGGGAATTTATGCCCTAGCTCACTGAATCGACATTACATACCAAGCGAAAGATTTGGCCACATGCATTTGAAAAAGAAATAGAAATACTGAGAAACAAAAAAAATGCTGAGTTTTAGTTGAGTTATCTTTATTAAAAATATCTTGGTTCCTACTTTTACTATGCGTTCTGTCAATGTAAACATATAGAATATCTGTTGATGATGAGCAAATCACATACCAGTTATTAAAATCCATCCCAAAAATTTCAGGAGCTGGACTCGCTAGTGTGGTCGTCTCGTTTCTCATGTCCACATACTATAGCGTCATCATAGGTTATTCAATTTACTACTTCTTTACGTCATTTAAAACGGAGATGCCCTGGATTGACTGCAACAACAGGTAGGTTAAGCCGAGCAGAGCAATGCAATTATGTACCATCGCCATCGCGAATAACAATCTTTAAATTTCAGATGGAATACGCCGGACTGTTGGGTGCCGCAACGCAAGGAAATCAATGCCAGTGCACCGGACACATCACGCACCCCCTCAGAGGAGTTCTTTGAGTAATGAATGCATTCCAATTTGCCCCAATTCACAAATCTACTAAGACTCTTTTAAAACTCTTCCTGCAGAAATAAGGTGCTACAGATTAGCGGTGGCCTGGAATATCCGGGAATGATGCGATGGGAGCTCTTCGCTTGTCTTATTTGTGCCTGGCTAATGGTTTACTTTGCCACATGGAAGTCGATCAAGTCTTCGGCCAAGGTGCGGTACTTTACGGCCACTTTTCCGTTTGTGCTCATCATCATACTAATGGTGCGAGCCGTGACGCTCGACGGGGCGGCCGAGGGTCTGCGCTTCTTCTTCCGACCAAAGTGGTCGGAGCTGAAGAACGCCAATGTGTGGATCAATGCCGCCTCCCAGAACTTCAATTCGCTGGGCATTACCTTCGGATCCATGATCTCCTTTGCCAGCTACAACAAGTACAACAACAACATACTCCGCGACACGATTGCGGTGAGTGCAGTGAATATGATAACCAGCCTGCTGGTTGGCATATTCGCCTTCTCCACACTGGGAAACCTAGCACTGGAGCAGAACACCAATGTGCGAGACGTCATTGGCGATGGGCCGGGCATGATATTTGTGGTGTATCCACAGGCCATGGCCAAAATGCCGTACGCTCAGCTGTGGGCGGTCATGTTCTTCTTCATGCTGCTCTGCCTGGGCCTGAACTCTCAGTTTGCCATTGTCGAGGTGGTGGTCACGTCTATACAGGATGGCTTTCCGCGCTGGATTAAAAGGCACCTGGGCTACCACGAGATAGTTGTGCTTTTTGTCTGCGTTATCTCGTGCCTCTTCGGTATGCCGAACATCATACAGGGTGGGATCTACTACTTCCAGCTGATGGACCACTATGCTGCCTCGGTGACGATTATGTTTCTAGCCTTCTGCCAAATGATCGCCATAGCCTGGTTCTACGGCACCGGACGATTATCGAAGAATGTTAAGCAGATGACCGGAAAGGCTCCATCATTCTATCTCAGATCCTGTTGGCTTGTGCTGGGACCCTGCCTGCTCTTTGTATGTGATCCGGGTGTAGTAGAAACTTGATGAACAATATATCATGTCGCCTTCTCTCTTTTTGTAGGCCATTTGGGTTCTGAGTCTCATCAACTACCGTGAGCCAACGTATCATAATGGGAGATATACTTATCCAGACTGGGCGTATGGCATTGGATGGATGTTCGCATCTTTTTCACTGATCTGCATACCAGGGTATGCGCTAATCAACTTCCTGCGGACCGGCGGTGACAGCTTTTGGGATGTAAGTGGATAGATTTGTCTTGTCTATTTGTTAGCATCCGTCAATAGCAATGTACGTATTCCCCTCTATAGCGCATCAAGAACACGCTACGACCAAATATCTACGAGTGCAAGATCTGTGGCGAACATCACTGCGAACACGACTACCCAGAACAGGAACAGTACATGCTGGCCCAGGAGCTGGCCACCGTGTACAGGCCCACAACCAGCCACCTACATCATTTGGGAGCAAAATCCGGCTATAATGCTATGCAGGCCTCGACCACGGGCCCCCAGGGGTCCCACTCGGAATACAAATATCAGTCCAAGGCCCACGCCGAGCCACCACCGAACACGACAGATGAGCAAAATGGCAAATAGGCTAGCGCTTGGCACGAATATCCTGTTCAACTAAAACCGATTTCTGAGTATTTTTAATGAATCATTTTTCTGGCTTTCCATGATTAAATCAAACTAAATAAATTATCGACATTGTCATGAACAATCGATATCGATAGCAGTTGGAGCATTTGACCGGTCTCCAGTGTGAAATTCGATGTGTCTTTTTAGCCCTGACCACTAACCATACAGTATATATATATATATATATATATATCTAAGCCCTGACTTAGACAGAGACAAAGAATACATTTAAACTGTTGATCGACATTCTATCAACTTGAAGGTTTTAAATTGGTTCTATCTGAATAGAGCTGTTAGACGCGAAATGTGGCACGACCAATTTATGTTATGCGAAAAGCCACAAAAAGTGCTGCTAGGCGCGAGAGGTGTCCCTGTGTTATCGAAATATTTTATGTCAGCTGCAATGTTTTGCAGAAATTATATTCATTTAAATTTTGTGTTATGTGATGTCTGCAAGAAGATAGAACAAGATAAAACACAAATTAAATTGCATATCTGCTGTGCATCGAAGGACCCATGGGAAAGATTAGCGATTATGCACAAGAACAGCGTCTGGATTTAGTACCTCTGCAACAGGTGCCGGCATGGAATACTGTAAGCGGATTTGCTGATAATATAAATACATTCTCAAAATACAAACTTACGTCCTTTTCCAGCAATACAATATATAGGTACCGTTGATTGCTTCTGCAATCTTTTCATCGGAGTTTATCATTGGCCAACATGTTAGACACTTGGATTGGTTCCTTTCTCCAGTGTCATTTAGGTTTTGAGTCTCATCAGCTACTCTTAGGAAACTTACCACAATATTACATGGCATTGGTCTTTTGTACGCATATTTCTCTCTTACTTGCACACCGGGCTATTTATAATCGTTTGCAAATTTATTTTGCGTGATTGTACAGAACAGGAGTAGCACTCGTACATTCTGAAACAGAAGCTGGCTACCGTGTGCAAGCCCAGAATCACTCATCTGGGTCGTTCTCCAGTGTGCGAGCATTTGTGTGGACACGATTTCGAGTAGAAGGAATATTTGTAGGGTAGTTCATTATTATCCGTATTATCATTTATCATCAATTGGTTCGATTTCACACTTTCACTATCTGACTGTTCCCCATCCTCGTCTTTTTTAGATTATCACATATCTCTTCTTCATCATCTTCTTCCATTAGTTTGAAATACAGTTTATGACTTTTGTCGAAGGTTTTTAAACTAACTTCAATATAAGAGAGGCTGGCTACAGCCATTAAATTTTGATGAAGGATTAATCGTATTCTACACTTTTGTAGATAAATATATAGCTTATAACTAATTTTTTATTTTCCCCACGAATGCGCAGTTGGGTTATTTTCGCCAAGTGCAGTTAGTAATCAACGTCTGCTAGGCTATATAAATAAATGGTTTTCAAAAAGCTTATTTTAGAGTGCAAGAATTTCATAAAATTGAGATGTATTCTTAAATGTATGATATTTGTAATGTTTTATTAGAGTTTACATTTAAAACTGTTTATAAAGGCCACACATTTAACATCAAATATAAAATGTTTGATAAATTTTGTCAGTAATCTCGTTCAAAGAGATCTGTATGTAAAAAAATACGTAAAATATGAAAAAAAAATTACAGTTAAGGGGAATAACATAATTGAACATATAAAATTCATAGATAGCGCTTAAAGATCTTGTTCTGCAGTAGGAGCGATCGTATCATCCTCTCTCAGCGTTCTTACGGCTGTGATCTCGAAGAGTGATGGAATGGCACAGTTGTCGTTGCTTGTGTGAGTAAGTATGTGTCTTTGATAGCTACTGTTTCTGTATCTAAAAGTCTTTGAGCAGTGGAGGCACTTGTAAGGACGCTCCCCTGTGTGAGAACGGAGGTGTACCTGGAGATTCGACTTTTCCTGAAATGACTTCGAGCACTGAGTGCATTGGTAGGGTCGTTCCCCTGTGTGAGTAAGAGTGTGTCTATCAAGCTTTGATTTTTGTTTAAAAGACTTTGAGCAGTAAGAACACCTGAACGGTCGTTCGCCAGTGTGAATCCGGGTGTGTTCTCGGAGATGAGATTTTTGTTGAAATGACTGCGAGCAGTGAGAGCATTTGTATGGTCGTTCACCCGTGTGTGTACAAATGTGAATATGTAGAGGTTCTTCCTTGCTAAACGATTTGTAGCAGTGAGGACATTGGTAAGGTCGTTCACCCGTGTGCGATCGGATATGAATCCGGAGACTATCGGATCGAGCAAATGACTTGGAGCAGTGTGTACACTTGTGCGGCAGCTCCACAGTGTGAATACAGGTGTGTTCGTTGAGCTCGGAATTTTTTGTAAGCGACTGAAAGCAGTGAGAGCACTGGTGGGGTCTAATTGACAGCGGGCAGTCAGGAAATTTGTGTGTTCGTTCGTCTGAGTGAATAAGGATGTGTTTTTCATGACTGGATTTTTCTTTGAAGTACTTTAAACATTGGCAGCATTCGTAGCTTCGTATATCTGTGTGCGTACGGGTGTGTCTATCAAGGCATGATTTTTGTATAAAAGACATCGAACAGAGGGAACAATGGTAGGGTCGTTCTCCTGTGTGCGTACGGGTGTGCGTTTGAAGAGTGTATTTTAGTCGAAATGACTTTGAGCATTCGGAGCATTTGTAGGGTCGATCATCTGTGTGCGTACGGATGTGAATCTGTAGAGTTCCTTTCACGGAAAATGACTTGGAGCAGTGAGGACATTGGTAAGGTCGTTGATTCTTATGCAAACGGATATGAACTCTAAGACTTTCGTTTTGGGCAAAGGACATAGAGCAAAGAGAACACTTATACGGTTGCTCACCAGTGTGTGTAAGGATGTGCTCTTTGAGTTTGATATTTTGTGTAAATGACATCGGGCAGTGAGAGCACTGGTAAGGTCGTTCACCTGTGTGGGAACGTGTGTGTATTTGAAGATGGGCGAGTTTTATAAATGATATGGAGCACTGGGAGCACTTATAAGGTGGATTCCCCATGTGCGTACGGGTGCGTCTTTTAAGATTCGATTTTTCTGTAAAAGACAGAAAAGATTTTTCTCCTGAGTGAGTACGCGTGTGTGTTTGAAGGTTGCATTTTAGCCGAAATGATTTTGAGCAGCTGGAACATTTGTAGGGTCTGTCCACAATATCCGTCTTATTGTTGTTAACTTGGTGTATCTCTTCATCGGTTTCTAATTGGTTCGATTGCTCATTTTCAATGTCTGAGGGTTCCCAATCCCCGCCTTCCAAATGGTCTTCTTCTCTATCGTCTTCCATCAGTGTTAAATAGAGTGTATGGCTCTGCTCACATGTTTTTATAAGATTGAATGCATTTACAGCATCCTCAAGGCAAGGCGGACATATGTTTTCTGGTAGTAAATCGCCTCGGCTAACCGCGTACCCAGTGCACTGTGATATCATGTCAGCAATGCAAGTGTCCCATGTGTGTGTCTCATCAAAAATATTTGTGAATGGTCCGGAGTTTGCCCTGCAAACTCTGCATATTTCCTCCATAGTCCTGCAAGTAAATTACTATTATATATAAATAATACAGGACGCGCCATTGCATGCACGAATGCATCGAATATTGAACAAAAAAACGAACCCACTGTGCGGCTTTTATTAATTGCAAAAATGTAGTTTGGATGTTTCCTTGGCACGAATTAGTTTGTTTTGACCACAAAACATAATAATTAGAGCTGTTAGACGCGAATTGTAGCACGACAAATTTATGTTATGCGAAAAGCCACAAAAAGTGCTGCTTGGCGCTAAAGGTATCGAAATAGTTTATGTTAACTGCAATATTTAGTAGAAATTATATTCATTTAAATTTTGTGTTATATGATACTGGAAGAGGACAGAACAAGATAAAACACAAACTAAATTGCAAATCTGCAATGCCTCGAAGGACCCATGGGAGGAATGATTTTGGATTACACACAAGAGCAACGCCTGGATTTAGTACCTATGTATGCAACAGGTGTGGGCATGGAATACTGTTAGTGGATTTTCCGAAAATATAAATACATATGTACATTCTCAAGCTGGTATTTATACAAATATAGATATCGTTGACTCCTTTCTTTATTGTCATTTAGGTTCTGCTTTTAACACGCAACGTATCTCAACAGGACATGGCAATGGTATGTGCGCATATTTATCAGTAACTTGCATACCGGGTTATGCGCTGACCAACTTGCTGCGGATCAGCGCAGATAGCTTTGGGATGTAAATGGATAAAGTCTTACGTATGTATCTATTATCGTTTGTCAATTCATGTTATTCTATATTCCATTCAATGAGGCCTCCAAATATACACTAGAATTAGTTGTAGCGAATATCGTTTGCATAATTGTACAGAACAGGAGCAGAACTCTCGCTGGCTGGCGTAGAGGCTGGACACCGTGTGCTTGCCCATAACCAGCCACCTGCTTTTTTGGGAAAGAAGTCCGGCTATGCTGCTGCATACCAATCCATATCAGCCCAAGCCTAAGCCTAATCGTGCGAAAAAACCGTGGATCAGTGGAAACATTGGTAGGGTCATTCTCCTGTGTGCGTACATTCGATAACACAACATACATACATATGTATGTAAATTCATTCGAATAGATGAGCTTGCGCTTAACAGCTCATTTCTTCTCCTCTTCTCCATTTCTCAAAACTAAAACAATTCAAGTGGAGGAAAAAATTAACACCAATTGGCTGCTTGAGGGTTTGATTACGCTTATTTCTCATGTAAATATTTATGTAAATATTGTTGTATTCCGTTCATTAATATTCATTTACTTGCAGGACAATGCAGGAAATATGCAGAGTTTGCATGACAAACTCCGGACCATTCACAAATATTTTTGATGAAAGACCCACGTTGGAAACTTGCATTGCTGACATGATAACACAGTGCACCGGGTACGTGGTTAGGCGAGGCGATTTACTACCAGAAAACATATGTCCGCCCTGCCTCGAGGATGCAGTGAGTGCATTCACCCTTAAGAAAACCTGTGAGCACAGTCATAAACTCTATTTCCCAGTGATGGTGGAGGATATAGAAGAATTTGCCGATACTCTAGAAGATGAGGATTGGGAACCGTCAGATATTGAAAGTGAGCAGTCGAAACATTTTGAAAACGATGAAGAGATGAATCAAAATGATAGCAATAACATTGATCAATTTGTACGACCCTTCAAATGCTCCGACTGCACAAAATCCTTTCACCAAAAAGCCCATCTTCAATCACACACCCGTACGCACACAGGTGATCGACCCTACCAATGTTCCTACTGCTCGATGTCGTTTGCACAGAAATACAATCTTGACAGACACACTCGTTCACACACTAATGATCTTTCATACCAGTGCCCTCATTGCTCAAAGTCCTTCATACAAAAATGCAATCTTGAAAAACACACTCGTACTCACACAGGTGATCGACCCTACCAGTGCTCCCACTGTTCGAAGTCATTTCCACAAAAATCCCATCTCCATGTACACAACTGTACGCACGCCATGGAACTGCCGCATATGTGTCCTCACTGCTCTAAGTCATTTTCCCGTTCCGATAGTCTACGGATTCATATCCTCCGGTTGCACACGGATAAACGACCATACAAATGCTCTCACTGCTCGCAGTCATTTCAACAAAAATTTCATCTCCGAGAACACAGCCGTATTCACACTGGCGAACGGCCGCATAGATGCTCTTACTGCTCAAAGTCTTTTAAACAAAAATCAAAGCTTGATAGACACACTTTTACTCACACAGGGGAACGACCCTACCAATGCACTCAGTGCTCGAAGTCATTTCAGGAAAAGTCGAATCTCCAGGTACACCTCCGTTCTCACACAGGGGAGCGTCCTTACAAGTGCATCCACTGCTCAAAGACTTTTAGATACAGAAACAGTAGCTACCAAAGACACATACTAACTCACAAAAGCAACGACAACTGTGCCATTCCGTCATTCTTCGAGATCACATCCGTAAGAACGTTGAGAATGGAAGATCCTATTGCTCCTACTGCTCCAACCCTGGACCGTAATTATTCGTCAAAACGATGACGCCTAATCCCAATCGACTATTTCCTTTGCCGTTTTGTGTTACTGTTTGTTGTTGCAGTGTAAGGACTGGCAAGTAGATCGATTTTAAAACTGACGTCGAAACGGCTAAGCATGACTTCTATGACTTAAATAAATTATGTATGTATGTAGATCAGAGGTCGGCTTAAAATGTTAATTCCAATAAAATATTATAAAAAACAATCACAAATTCCAATTGTAAAATATTCATTATGTTCGATTTTCTCACCTCTCAAGAGATAAATGAGCAGAACCATACGTGCCAAATATCAGAAGTCTCCTTTTTAAAAAAGAAACTAAATGTCATAATAAAGTTTTTATTTTATAATTTAAAATCTTAATAAATAGATCCAATTGAATTTATCCAAGTAAATTTTATATATCCCATATTCTTAATTTAAATACCCATTGCCAATCCATGAAGAAATAAACAAATATTTATTAATTATTTTCTTTTTAAGTTGGTGAACAATTTAAAATTTCATTTTAATTTTGATTTGTCAAAGACAAAAAAAAGGATTTCATTAATAGTACATAGGAATTTATTTGCATGCAGATCTATAACCTGCTTGAGGCAAAGGACACATTCACAGACTTAACTAGTGGGCCGAAAGGTGTCCTTTGTCTGGAGCAATCAGACCTTATCTGTTTTTCCTAGCTTCGCATGCAAGCAATCCTCAGGGTGCTTACGAGATTGTGATATACCAGATAGTACCGGAATGGGAGTCAAGTCATTGGTGTTGAGAGTTAGTGTATGTCTTTGGTAGGTTTGGGTTTTGTATTTAAATTAGTTATTTAAAGTAGACTTAGGGTGAATATTCTCTATGAGTTCGGAAGTGTATTTTGAGATGGGAATTTTGATTAAATGACTTCAAACAGTGAGAGCACTGGAAGGGTCGTTCTCCTGTGTGAGTAAGGATGTGTCTATCAAGTTTGTATTTTTGTATAAAAGCCATTGGACATTCAGGGCATTCGAATGGTCGTTCATCCGTGTGCCAAAGTATATGATCTCGAAGAGAAGTGGCGTGAGCATAAGAACTAGAGCAGCGGGTACACTTGTACGGTCGTTCCCCTGTGTGAGTCCGGATGTGCACATTGAGAGTGCATTTTTCTGGAAACGACTTCGGGCAACGAGAGCATTTAAAGGGCCGCTCACCTGTGTGGGTGTGGGTGTGTATTTGAAGATGGGCGAGTTGTTTAAACGACATCGGACAGTAAGAACACTCGTACGGTCGCTCCCCCGTGTGAGTTCGACTGTGTTGTTTAAGTTCGGAATTCTGTGTGAATGACATCGAGCACTCAGGGCATTTGTAGGGTCGTTCCCCAGTGTGCGTACGGATGTGATTGCGGAGAGTTCCAGCGTGAGGAAAAGACTTGGAGCAGTGGGTACACTTGTACGGTCGCTCGCCCGTGTGAGTGCGGTTGTGTATCTCTAGGTTAGATTTTTCTGGAAATGACTTCGAACACTGAGTGCATTGGTAGGGTCGTTCACCTGTGTGAGAAAGGGTGTGTCTATCAAGTTTAGACTTATGTACGAAAGTTTTTGAGCAGGAAGAACATTTATACGGCCGTTCCCAGCTGTGTGTATGGCTGTGTCTTTGGAGGTCGGATTTTTCTTGAAATGACTCCGAGCAGTAACTACATTTGTAGGTTCGTTCATCCTTGTGCAAGCGCAAATGAATTCGGAGGCAATCGGATCGGGCAAAGGACTTAGGGCAGTGGGAACACTTATAAGGTCGTTCTCCCGTATGACTACGGATGTGTATCTTGAGTTCGAATTTTTGTGTAAATGACATCGGGCATTGGGAACATTTGAAGGGTCGATCACCCGTGTGTGTACGGGTGTGTCTATCAAGATTATATTTTTGTGCAAAAGACTTCGAGCAGTGGGAACATTTGAAGGGTCGATCCCCTGTGTGCATACGGGTGTGAGTTTGAAGATTGGATTTTAGTCGAAATTTCTTTGAGCAGAATATGCATTTGTAGGGTTGTTCTCCCGTGTGCGTACGGATGTGAAGCCGAAGAGTTCCGGAGTGAGAGAAAGACTTCGAGCAATGAGAACACTTATACGGTCGCTCGCCCGTGTGAGTTCGCATGTGAACTTTGAGATAGGATGCTTCTTTAAATGACTTCGAGCAGTGAGAACATTTATGTGGTCTATCAATTTTATCAGTGTTATCAATTTGATCCGTATTATCAGTGCTATCAATTTTATCAGCGTTATCACTTTTATCAGTGTTATCGCTACCATCTTGATCGGTTTGAAAATGTTTTTCACTCTGGTCACTTTCACTATCTGACGGTTCCCAGTCCTCATCTTCCTGACTATCGGAAAAGTCTTCTTTATTCTCCTGCACCACTGGAAAACTGCGTTCATGGCTCTGCTCACAAGTTTCCTTAAGATTGAATGCATTCACTGTAGCCTCTAGGCAAGGCGAACATATATTTTCTGTTAGTGAATCGCCTTGCCTAACCACGTATCCTGCGCACTCCGATTTTTGTGTCTCATCCAAAATACTTGCGAATGGTCCAGAATTTCCCATGCAAACTCTGCATATTTTCTCCATTGTCCTGCAAAAAAATTAAACGGAGTACAGAAACGCACAATTGCGCCAATTAACTTATGTACTTTTTATTGGCTTTTCTTCCTTGTCCAACTTTAGCTGAGGGTAGGTATAGGGTTGTACATATGAATATAATATGTACGATTCGATTTTGGTTCGTATTTAGCATGGAGCTGAATACATACGAAATCGAGCTGTAAAGCGCAAAAATTAGCACGCAAGACTTGCTGTAAGAGCGCGGAAAAAAACTGGTCAGTTTTTTTAGTAACTGGAGAATTTAAGTACACTTGGAATCAATACATTCTATTAGGATACCGGTAGTCATACATGGAAAGTAATGGTATGTCAAAATGTTTCGATGTGGCATTCATTTCCAGCATTATTTTTGTTGCTCTTATGATAACTGGTGTGAAACTCATTTGGACACCAGAACAGACAGACAGAGCTCGAAACTGCCTTTGGTCATTGGTCACTGGCTAAGAAAATGCCAGAAACGTTTGAAAAGGTCCGGTCGTTCTTTTCGTGGGGGGGAAAAAAATTGAGACCTATATCTTTTGTTTCTTAATGCTAACTGTGTAAATAATAAACGAGGTCTTCTTTTATACCCAGTACTCATTTTTCTAGCATTTGTCATGATAGACGAAAAAAAAACATAAAGAGAAAGAGAAGAACCACAACTGCTATTGTTTATAAAATTGGGTTGCAAGTGGATAGATAACCACGTATCTTTTATCGTATTGCCAACCATGAATTCCATTCTAAAGCGCATCAAGAAGGCGAGCAAATATCTACGAGTGCAAGATCAGCAGCAGGAGCACCACACTATTATACAGTTAGAACATTTGTAGGGTCTGTCCATAATATCCGTCTTATTTTCTTCATCGGTTTCGAACTGGTTCGTTTGCTCACTTTTATCACAGATGTTTTCTTCTCTATCCTTTTCCATCAGTGTTAAATAAAGTTTATGGCTCTGCTCTCAGATGGTCTTTAGATTGAATGCACTCATTGCATCCTCAATGCAGGGCTGACGTATGTGCTATCATGTCAGCAATACAAGTATCCAATGTTGGTCTTTCATCAAAAATATTTGTGAATGGTCCGGAGTTTGCCATGCAAACTCTGCTTTTATTAATTGCAAAAATGTAGTTTGGATGTTTCCTTGGCACTAATATGTTGTTTTGACCACAAAACATAGTAGTTAGTGCTGTTAGACGCGAATTGTAGCACGACAAATTTATGTTATGCGAAAAGCCACAAAAAGTGCTGTTAGGCGCGAGAGGTATCGAAATGTTAACTGCAACGTTTTGCAGAAATTATATTCATTTAAATTTTGTGTTATATGATACTGGAAGAGGACATAACAAGATAAAACACAAACTAAATTTCAAATCTGCAATGCTTCGAAGGACCCATGGGAGGAATTATTTGGGATCATACACAAGAGCAACGCCTGGGTTTAGTACCTATGCAACAGGTGCGGGCATGGAATACTGTTTTCTGAAAATAAATACATTCTCAAGCTGGTATTTATACAATTTATACGATTGACTCCTTTCTTTATTTTCATTTAGGTTCTGCTTTTAACACGCAACGTATCTCAATAGGACATGGCAATGGTATGTGCACATATTTATCAGTAACTTACATACCGGGTTATGCGCTGACCAACTTGCTGCGGATCAGCGCAGATAGCTTTGGGATGTAAATGGATAAAGTCTTACGTATCTATTATCGTTTGTCAATTCATGTTATTCTATATTCCATTCAATGAGGCCTCCAGATATCTGGCAGTGCAGGCCAGGCCTAAGCTCAATTAGTGGCTTAATGCTGACATATATTTATATATATATATATATCGCCAGCACATGACTGAACTTTCGTTAATGCGTATGATAAACTATTCCTGAAGACCCTCGGAACGGTCCAACGAGTCTGGAAACGCTTGTCAATTGACGTTTGATACGTTTAATATTCTGTAAAATTAATCTTAAAGCAAACTTTTTAAACTTTAACAATTTTTCTGCGTGTGAGCGCGTATGTGTCGTTTTAGAGATACGTTATGGGCGAATGATTTCGAACAGTGAGTACAGGTATATGGTCGCTCCCCCGTGTGAGTGCGGATGTGTACTTTGAGTTCGATATTTTGTTTAAATGCCTTTGAGCAGTGTGAGCATTGGTAAGGTCGTTCACCTGTGTGGGACCGTGTGTGTATTTGAAGATGGGCGAGTTGCTTGAATGACATGGAGCACTGGGAACAATTATAAGGTCGCTCCCCCGTGTGAGTGCGGATGTGTACTTTGAGTTCCGAATTTTGGGTGAAGGACATCGGGCAGTGGGGACATAGGTATGGTCGTTCACCCGTATGTGTACGGATGTGTATCCGGAGAGTTCCATCGTGCGAAAAAGCCTTCGCGCAGTGAGAGCATTGGTAGGGTCGTTCGCCCGTGTGCGTTCGAGTGTGTCTTTCAAGTTTGGATTTTATTGTAAAGGACTTTGAGCAGTAAGAACATCTATACGGTAGCTCACCAGTGTGAGTGCAGATGTGTTCACTAAGATGGGACTTATGTTGAAAGGATTGAGAACAGTGGAAGCATTTGTAGGGTCGTTCGATATAATTCGTCTTAGCTCCAGTATCTTGTGAACATTCTGCATCAGTTTCCATATTGTTTGATTTGTCACTTCGCCTACCTGACCAATCCTTGTCAGTCAGATTATACTTTTCTGTCCTCACGCCCATCGCTTGGAACTGGAGTTTATGGCTCTGCTCACAGGTGCTCTTAAGATTGAATGCACTCACTGCATCCTCGAGGCAGGGCGGACATATATTTTCTGGTAGTAAATCGCCTGGCCTAACCTCGTACCCGGTACACTGCTCTATCATGTCAGCAATGCAAGTTTCCAATGTGGGTCTATTATTAAAAATGTTTGTGAAAGCTCCGGACTTTGTATTGCAAACTCTGCATATCTCCTCCATGGCCCTGTAATTGAATGAATCTTCACAATCGGAATACAATAATATACATCTACTGGTGAATCAAATGAAATATTATTTATTTAATCAAGAGCCACATATTATTACTTGCGAGTTGTTTTGTTGTGATTAGAGCTAATAACATAATGTGCTGTAAGGCGCGCAGCACATGGTAACAGGGTGTGTTAGTACTGTAAAAATATAGTATGGATGTTCCTGAAAGAGATTTTAATATTCTTTAGACTAACCTGAACTTTTCATAACTTTTCAGCAATACGGTTCAAGAATACATTGTTAAATTGCAAAATGTTGTGGCATATTTTTATTAAATATACATATCTCTCTATTATATACAATTTTTGACGGGGATTGGCGCACGAGCAAAGCGAGGGTGCTGTGCTTGCCCTCTAGTACTCAATAAAACTGTACACAATATACAAATGTACTAGCTTTTTTGAGTGGGCGAACGATTAAGCAGCACCTGGAAAACTTAAATATTTGGGTCGTTGGGTCTGTGATTTGTGTGGATCCCTTTAATAGTTGCAACCATTAACTCGTATTCGAATGTACGCCTAAAGGTGTTCTTTTTCTGAGACTATTTCGCTCGTTTTTAGTTATTCCGGAAAGTTTCAAGATCTCGATCTGCAGTGGAAGAACTCGTGCCATTCTTCATGGAGCCTATGGATGTGAGTTCGACGATCAACGGAATTTAGAAGGGAATTTATGCATCGGGTAGACTTGAAAGCTCTTGTCCCGTGTGAGAAAGGGTATGTCTTTTCAGAGATGAGTTGTGAATAAAGGCCTTTGAGCAGAACGAGCACTTGTAAGGATGCTCTCCAGTGTGAATACAGATATGTGCTTGGAGATCGGAACTTTTCATAAAGGACTTTGAGCAGTAGGAGCATTGGTGGTCGGATCGGTCCACCGTGTGAGTACGTAAGTGTGTATCAAGATTGGATTTTTGTATAAAGGACTTCGGGCAGTGGGAACACTGGTAGGGTCGTTCGCCAGTATGCAAACGGATATGAGCCCGTAGGCAAGCGGCTCGGGCAAAGGACTTGGGGCATTGAGAGCACTTAAACGGTCGCTCTCCCGTATGAGAGCGTATGTGCACTTGCAGCTCTGATTTTTGTGCAAACGACATAGAGCAGTCTGAACATTGGTATGGTCGTTCACCGGTATGCAACAAGATATGATCCCGAAGTGTTCCGGCATGGGAAAACGACTTTGGGCAATGAGAACATGTATACGGTCGCTCTCCGGTGTGTGTGCGGCTGTGTACTTTTAGATGAGACAGTTCTTGAAATGACTTCGGACATTCGGAGCATTGATGGGGCCGATCTCTTGTGTGGGTACGGATGTGTATTTGAAGATGGGAGTTCTGCTTAAACGTCTTCGAGCAATGCGTGCACTCAAACGGTCGCTCACCCGTGTGAATACGGATGTGCACTTCGAGTTCGCTTTTTTGTATAAATGACTTTGAGCAGTCGGGGCATTTGTAGGGTCGTTCACCCGTATGAAATTTGATGTGTCTATATAAGTTGCTTCTATGCGTATACCGCTTTGAACAATGGGGGCATCTAAATAAAGCATCGACGTCCTTATCATCTTTTTTGACTTTTTCATCACAGTTCTCGTCGTCACGATTATCACAGAGGACCTCTTCCATACCCGTCTCCCTTTCTTGGAAGTAGAGTCTGTGGCTCTGCACACAGATGGTCTTTAGATTGAATGCACTCACTGCATCCTCAAGGCAGGGCGGACATATGTTTTCTGGCAGTAAATCGCCTCGGCTAACCTCGTAGCCGGTGAACTCCGCTATCATGTCAGCAATGCAAGTATCCCAGTTTTGTGGCTTGTCGAAAATGTTTGTGAATGCTGCAGACGTACCCACGCAAACTCTGCATATTTTCTCCATTTTCCTGCAAGTAAATGAATCTTAAATAAACAGCCAACAGGACTCGCAATTGCGCACTGGAACGCATTGAATATAAAACAAACCAACTTGTTCGGCTCTTCAGAATTGCAAAACATGTAGTATTGATGATTATTTGGCACGATTTAGTTTGTTTTGACAACAAAACAGAAGCAGTACAGCTGTTGGGCACGAAATGTATCTGTTAAATTATGTGCTGTTAGGCGCGGAAGGCATGTTAAATTATATTTAATGCTAATACAACAAACAACAAACCCAACAACGAATTAAATGACAATTGGGCATTAGTGTGAAACAGATTAAAGCTTTTCGTATGAACAGTTTAAGGCATTGCTTTTTGTTCACACATAGAAGAAATACACAATTTAATTTTGATGTCGCCGAATAGATTGAAATATTTAATTAGGAAACAATTTAGGTAGATACATATGTACATAAATACTTATAAGCATACGAATTAAATAATTTGCTGCTTCTATAGCTTCTGTACATATCGATAGAGCACATCGAACTCTTCAAACTTTGGCACGGCACTGAAGTTGCGCGGTGTTTTGCAGTACTCTCCATAGATAATCTGACTTTTGCTGGGAACGGTCGGTGGATGCACACTCAGATACGAGTTTGTGCCATAGTTGCTCAGAGGGCGCAGCGTGATGCCCCTCATGATCTTAGCGAGCTCTTGGTCGCGCTGGGCCACGGAAGTCTGGGCAGGCCGAGCTCCTCCACTGGACAGTTTTTCCAGTTGGACGTATTTCTTATAGATGGCCATGCTCTGCTTGGAGGGCGCATTAATGCTGCAGCCATAGACCTGATCCATTGAGGGGAGCACCGAAGCCAGCGTTATAGCGGCCGGCTCAGCCGATTCTGTTTGCTTGGCCTCTTTCTCGGCAAAGCTGGCACTAAGCTCCTCATCGCTGGAGCTGTCATCGCCTTCACTAGAGCTTGAAGAGTTGCTGTTTGTCGACCCCGTGGAACTATGGCCAGTCATCGAGGGATTTTGACGAGCTTTCCTTGAGGTCTGAATCTGTCTCTGAAACGGACTGTAGTTTGTGCGGAATGTGGGCATAAAGCGCATTGCCAGCTGGCTTATCTCAAAGGCAATGTGTTCGCTAAGATCGGTCCACTTGAAGGACTGATGGTAATTTGAGTAGGCATCGATCATCTCCAAGCCATTGCTGTGTACGCGGAACAGCTCCTTGACGAGTTTGTTCGAATCGGCGCACGAGTATGGCAAGCACTCTCGTACCTTATGACGAACCCAATCGGTGATCTGTTTGCTATCCGTGCTGGGCACAAAGTCATTGTGCATATCGTAGTCGGTTTGTAGCTCCCATATAGGTTGAGTCACTAGATAAAAAACAAAAATACCACTATAGCAGTTACATTCGTTTGCAGAACTAAATGATATACTCACATTTTGTGTGACTGGGCTTGTAAATGCCAAGAAAGAGATTGATGCTGTGCTGCTTTTCAGTGTCGCTAAATGTATTGCTGTAGTAGCGACTGAGGGTCTGCATAACATCGTTGCCTTGGGAGCCCCAGGGAGCCGTCTTTCGATATGTCTTAATCCTATGGACCAGCTGAGAGCCACCATACTGCAACGCTAGAGTATCACCATGCTCCTCGTACAAGTGCTCCAGCATCGTTACACAATCCGAGTCAAACTCTAGCTTGGCCGACTTCAGAAAACCTAATCTCTCTAGTTGGTGCCCCAATGCACACTTTCCAATGGCAAACTGGGCCGAGTTGGTTCGGTCCAAGCAGTCCACGCAATTAGTGCGTACAATGCCAGTCTGAAGGCTGAGCTCGCTGCCTCGAGCTTTAAAGAACATATTCGTCAATTGAATCACACTTTCCGCGTATATAGCCAACTGATCCATGACGTTTCCACCACTCAAACGGCTCTGACGAGCCATATCGAAGTGTATGTGTTTCATTCGATGCGGCGGAGGTAGAAACTGATTTAGATAGCGAATGCTGTACTCCAGTTCCTTTGAGATGATAGACTCGTGCTTCCGACGCTCTCGTTTCTTAACCAGGTTAAGCATTATTAATGGTGCCCCATAGTGGAACAGCAGTCGCTCAAAATGCCGCGAGGGAGTCTGAGCGTAGGGATCACATATGACCACCTGTATCTGAGGCTTTGGAACCATTTTGCTGATGTCCTGCGACCAGTGGGATGGTATGGAGCCCCGCATTTGCGTAAAGGCGCACAGTCGCTGACCGTCGCTTACAATTTGCTCCGTCTCCACTTCATTGGCTACATCGCCCTGGAAGTTTGCACCTCGCTTTAGGAAGCGTGTACCCGCAAAGCGCGTACTGCGTCGCGCTATAAGGCAGACATTTACATGCCGTCCAAAGATGCTGATGCACGATTGACTAACAAACCCGTGGGTGACCTCCAGAAGCCAGTCCTTTAGCATTATACCCTCCATTGGTTGTAGAAGATAGGCATTCCATACAAAACGCTTGCGGGAATCGCTTCGAAATGCATAGTCCACACGCTCATGAATCTGTGCCACGTTATTAGTCAGCGTGTTCCAGTCGGGTAGTGGCTCGTCCCGATCCAGGTCCACTTTGGCTCCCACAAAGCGCGGCGCCGATTCATTATACTGCAGCGTTCGTGTCAGATCATACGAATAGGAGAAATAAAAGTTGCTTCGCAGGTCGATGTTCTGAAACATTTTCTTGTAGCGATCCTCGTGTGGGTGCGGTGGTCGCTGGGATGTCACCTCGTTCACACGTACCATTACTGTGTCCTTAATGGTGTAGACCAAATGATTTCCAATGAAGGCACAACACTTGCGCTTGGTAACCAGTATCAGGTAGTAGCCCTCGAGAAATCTGACAAAGCCCAACACCCCATAGGCTGATGTCACCTTCGGTGAGCCCGTGAGGGAAGCCACAAAGCGTCTGATTTCCAAGTTATTGAACTCGTTGGCATTTTCCTCGATACTCAAACGGTTGTGTGCCAGCCGATCGATGGTGAGCAACCGAAATCTAGTCTCGCGGTTGTTGCTGCCCACCAAATACAAACGCTGAAACACGCAGAGTTATCAAATAACATTTTCAATTAAAAGTGACATCTACTTACTGTGCGGGTCTCATAGAGCACTACCTTCTGTATGCAACTGATCAGAGGATTAAATACTATATTTGGGTTTCCATTGTTCATGTTATATGCGTTTCGATGCGCTTTTCCGCGAATGGACGACAATTTGTTGTATTTGGCAAGAATTATTTGTTTTGGCAACAAAACATCATAAAACGAGCTGTTGGACGCGAAATGTAGCTCGCCAAATTTATGTTGTCCGGACAGCCCACAAAAAGTGCTGTTAGGCGCCAGAGGTATCGACGGGTTATCGAAATATTTTATGTCAGCTGCAATGTTTTGTTGAAATTATATTTATTTAAATTTTAAGCTGTATGATCTTTTCAAAAAGACAGAACAAGATAAAGCACAATTTAAATGCATATCTGCAATGCACCGGAGGACTAGTGGATTATGCGCAAGAGAAACGCCTAGGGGTATGGAATACTGTAAGTGGATTTGATGAAGATACATACATATATGTACATATGTAAATAAATTCTCAAAAGTCCTTTCCCAGCAAATTCTTTGCTTTAATTTCCAAACATTCATGCTTCTGACACCTTGTGAGCAGTGATGAACACCTCGGAGTATATCAGTCCATTGGCCACTTGAATTTGTTCCTTCCTTTTTGTATTTAGGTTTCGAGCCTCATCAGCTACCATTGGGGAGATGCATGTATCCGGACTAGGCCTATAGCATTAGTTGGATAATCACATATATTTCACACTGATCGGCATTCCGGGCAATGAACGGTCATAGCTGGAGAATTTCGGAGGTTCGGATGTTGCTATCACCAGAACAGCTTTTTTAAATTGAAGGATACGATAGTAATACTTAGGATAGTACTTAAACCGAAATCTAGATGCTGGTTTGCTCTTGAGTTTTCCTGGAGTTTCTTATCAACTCCAGTCCACTGCTCTTCCTTCGGCCTTGTCATATCTGCCAATTTGTATGCCCGGTACTTAAAGAGAATAAGGATTATTATATGCGTGCAAGTACACATAAATGTACATATTTATATGGCAGAAAGAACCGTTTCCAGCCCCATAAAGTAAATATTTTCGATCAGCATAACCGTCTGTCCGTCTGTCCCGATGAGCGCCTATATCTCGGAGACTATAGTCGATATTCCACTGTTACTAGTATATTCCCGCGCAAAGGACGAACATCTGTGGCATCAACAATTTTAAAACTATACGAAACCTGAAACACGGAATTGTTTGTTATGGATAAAAACCTTTTGTTTGTCATTGTATAATTTTTTTATTTAAATAACTACCATATCAACATCAAAGTTAAATTATTTGCACATCGTTTTGTTTTTTAAATATTGTTGACGTCCGGCATCGTACTGAAAGCACTACTTCGGCCGTTCTTCCCAGTGAGAGAGAATATTATGTGACCGTTGAAATGGGCCTTTTCTTAAAATAGCTTCGAGCCCTAAGCACATTGGTAGGCTCGTTCAGCCGTGTTGCGAACGAATGTGTCTGTTAAAAGTAGATCCTTGTACGAAGGTTTTCGAACAGTGTGAGCACTGGTAGGGTCTTTCACCTGTGTGGGTGCGGTTGTGTATTTGAAGATGAGAGAGTTGTGTAAATGACTTCGAGCAGTGAGAACATTTATGCGGTCGCTCCCCAGTATGAGTACGTATGTGTGCGCTGTGATGGGCTTTTTGTTTAAATGACTTGGAGCAGTGGGTACACTGATATGGTCGCTCCATCGCGCATTTTTGGATGTGCAATTTGAGTGACTCTTTCTCTTGAAATGACTCCGGGCAGTGACAACATTGAAGGGGTCGCTCTACAGTGTGAGTACGGCTATGTGCCTTCAGATTGTGTTTTTCTGTAAAGGATTTTGAGCAGTCGGAACATTTGAAGGGTCGTTCATTTCTGTGCCAACGCAGGTGTCTTTTGAAACAGTACAGTTGGGAGAAAGACTTTGAACAGTGAGAGCATATATAGGGTCGTTCACCTGTGTGCGTACGGGTGTGAATCTTTAGATATCCCTGCGAGCTAAATGACTTTGTGCAGTGAGAGCATAGGTAGTGTTTTTTACTTGAAGGGAAACGTGTGTGGTCTTGAAGATGGGAGCATTGGTAGAGTCGATCACCCAGCTGTGTGCGGTTCTGTATCTGACGATGGGCAATTTGTTTAAACGACATCGAGCATTGCGAAAGTTTGAAGGGTCGATCATCGGTGTGCTTATGGGTGTGTCTTTCAAGATTATATTTATTTGCAAAAAACTTCGAGCAGTAGGAACATTGGTAAGGTTGATCACCTGAGTGCGTTCGAGTGTGTGATTGGAGCTGGGATTTTTGATGAAAGGATTTTGGGCAGTCGGCGCATTTGTAGGGACGTTCCACATTGTGTATTTTTTTGTGTCTATTTAGATTCGATTGACGCGTATAGCTCTTTGGACAAAGACTACATTTGAAGAGATTATCGAGATCCTTATCACTTTGGACCTCTGCATCGGGTTCAAATTGGATCGATTGCTCACTTTCAATATCTGAGGGTTCCCAATCCTCGTCTTCCAGATTGTCACAGATGCCTTCTTCTCTATCCTCCTCCATCACTGGGAAATAGAGTTTATGACTGTGCTCACAGGTTTTCTTAAGGATGAATGCACTCACTGCATCCTCGAGGCAGGGCGGACATATGTTTTCTGGTAGTAAATCGCCTCGCCTAACCACGTACCCGGTGCACTGTGATATCATGTCAGCGATGCAAGTGTCCCATGTGTGTGTCTCATCAAAAATATTTGTGAATGCTCCGGAGTTTGCCATGCAAACTCTGCATATTTCCTCCATAGTCCTGCAAGTAAATGACTATTATATATAAGAATACAGGACGCGCAATTACATGCAGGAATGCATCGGATACAAAACAAAACAACGAACTAACTTGTGTAATAATTGCAAATTGTTTAAATTGATGTGTCTTTGGTACGAATTAGTTTGTTTTGACCACAAAACATAATAATTAGAGCTGTTAGACGCGAAATGCAGCTCGACAAATTTATGTTATCCGGACAGCCAACGAAAAGTGCTGTTAGGCGCGAGAGGTATCGATGTGCTATCGAAATAGTTTATGTTAACTGCAATGTTTTGTAGAAATTATATTTATTTCAATTTTGTGTTATGATACTTCAAGTGGACAGAACAAGATGCATCGCATCGAAGGATTAATGGATTATGCTCAAGAACAACGGACCAGCTTTGTACCTATGCAACAGGTGGCGGCATTCTCGAGATACAATTTTACGTCCTTTCACAGCGCAAAAAGCATATGATCGAATGAATCGGGTGAATGAATGAATGAATCGAATGAATGAATGTGTTATCGAATCTAACAATATGGCTATTCATATAATTTGTTTTTCCTTTTGAACTGATTTGATTAATAAATTCTGAATAGCAAAATATTCTATGACCCGAATTACTGACAAAAAAATTAGAGCTGTTAGACGCCGGATGAACCAAAAAAGAAGTCCTGGTAGGCGCGAAAACAAATGGGTATTTGGGTGTCAATTATTGTATTCTTTTGCTTTAACAAAGCTTTAGGAAGGTTTTGCGAGGTCCCCGGTGTTCTCGGTGTCGCTCCCAACCAGTCGGTGCTCTCTATCTGGCAGATCGTTCAAATGGGCTCCGTGGGCACATGTTCCTCCTGTGCTTGCGTGCTTGCTGCCTTCAGCTGCAGACGCTTCTGCGTTTTTTCTGCCATCCTGATTGAACTCCATGCAGGATATGATATCCGCATCTTTGATATCCGGCATTCTGCTGTCTCTCTTACTTACATAATTGGCAGCACTAACAACGTCGCAAAAATGTGACTTAAGAATTGCCAGTATTTCGCATTCGAAATTGACTCGTTCAGTTTTAGTCCAATTTAGCGAAGAACTAAACCAGATGAAACCGAGCACCGTGGCGCGCAAGATGTCATAGTTGGAACTCACTTTTTATGTTAAGGTTTCATACATATCAGCTTCCCAGATATCCGCTGCCGTCTACTAGAGGGCGTTTGGTGGGTGCGCCACCTGATGAGAAATCCAAATTGTATGAAGATTTCATGCACTTCAGCATTTGTCGAGTGACAAGAATATAATTTACATACAGCGGCGAGACTTTGTCAGATATAGGTTAGATTAATTACATGTGCATGTAGCTTACATGTTACCGATGTATATTACCGAACATGTAGCAAACAAACTTTCTGGATTAGATCCCAGGGTCTTCAGCTTTGGCGTTCGCCTTTCACCGTTTTGTGATTGACCGGGTAATGTTATTTTATTTCCAACCTGTTCATCATTTCCATGTTTTCTTGTTCCTCTCCTCTTCTCTTATTTTGTATTCCCTCCAGCTTCCGCCGTAGCTCCTTCTCCTCTCGGGATGTCCAATGGTCCTTCACCCTGGCCATTTACAATAAGGACTTTGACTATGGTAACCAATGGATTGGCTACGCGGGCTACTAGACTCTAGATAGATCTCGTTGTTGTTTTAGGATAGGTTTAAGATAGATACAACTGTTTTCCAGTTGTTTATTTATTCATACTAAGTTTAGTTTTTATGAATTAATATGGGACGCGGGGGTTTTCCAATTAAACGATCCTATTTAACAGTCAGGAAAACAGGAAAATATGACTGGAGAAAATATCCTTGATAAGGGCTTCACCAAATCAAGGATTTTCTTACGATCACAGGAAGCCGTCCGACGTCCAGATGGGGCCACAAATAGCGACGAAATCGGAATATGATGTAACCATCATGAAATTTGCCAAAAATCAGCCTCATTTTCGTAGTGGAGATTTTGATGCCGTTCGACAGTCTGGATCCTTACGATCCTGGCAGAGTTGGTCTTTCACCGATTTCAAACATTTGGATGTGCATATCATTTAAATACTGGTTTCATTTTCTTCCAACAACATAAACTATACATATTTAGTATTCTCGGCTATTTTCGAACCGATCTGGGCGTTCCAGGCCTTTTTGTAATCGGGATAGTTTTCCGGATACCGGATACAGGATTCAGCAAGGATGATTTTTCAATAGTTTTATTCATCATAACTAAGCTTAGTATAAATAAATAAACAAGGGGAAAAACTTTTTATTTACTATTTAAATATATGGACGCGTATATCCTTAAATCTAACTACATAGAACGAAATATATCTGGAGTGTAGTAGCCCGCGTATTCCCATAGTCATAGTCCTTGTTGTCGATGGCCAGGTTGAAGGATAACGATGGCAAGGGTGTGCTTCTAGGCCTTGGTCTGTCTCGAATCCCCCTCGGCAATGCTTTAATAGGACTCCGTCTGGCGGGGGATATCGGATACGACTCGGTTTGTGGCAAAGCGTGGGGTACATAGATCCTCTGTGAATTAAGATATATTTCAGAATATATCCACAATTATCTACTGATTCACTTACGCGTCTCGAAGGTTTGCTGACATTCCGCCGTCAATCACTTGTCCCTGCTGCAGCGGTCGGGACGCCACATTGCTAAAATTAAAGGAAGAAATAAATAAAGTAAATTAATAAATAAATAAATTACCTGGTGGGCTAAAAAGAGGGGACCGCGATGAGGGAATACAAAATAAAAGAAGACGAACAAGAAAAAATGGTCTGTAAAAGATGAATAGTGGGAATAAAGCTTACCCGATCAAAGCCGATGAGATAAAGAAAGCATCGTGCAGGAGGAAAGACGGTGTCGGTGAAGTATGCACCTTCGAAGCACGTACTTCGTGCCGTAATATTTTCCATGTAATCCGCACGACGACGAAGAATTCGCGAAGAAATCCTTTTTATAGACATAATTGACCTCCACTCGCATTTGATTCCTGGTCCTCTTGCTGCTGCTGAGGCTGCGGGCCTGCTGCCTATCTGTTATCGAGTACAGAAGAACTTCGTATGGATCATTAATAGTTTCCAGGGAGAGTAGTCGATCGGCAGAAAACAGTACGCGCTGCAATAAAACCCTACCAATAACCATGGCCCCAGTCACTCTGCTTCTTGCATTCAAGCTAATTGCTCTGAAGTCTGACATTAAGACCAACCCTTGCCACATTTAACCCCAAGCATATGCCAAATCCGCCTCCAGCTGCGGCAGCCACGGGCAGTCGTAAATGGGGATAGACCAACTATGAAAATTTGCCACAATTTGTGGGTGCAACAGACTCTGAGTTTCCCACCTCCAAAATTTGACGCCTGATCAATAATATTGACTGAGCTGTGGAAATTCTCACACACACACAGAGAGAGAGAGAAGTGACGGAGGTGGGAAAATTTGCATGCAGTCGGGGCACGAATGAGAGCCATGATGGTGATGGTGATGGTGATGATGATGAAATTAAAGCAATACAACTGCCAGGAACGAGGTGCCGGAACCGGGGTGCAGAGAGGTAACAGACAGACAGATTGAGTGAGTGACTGAGCCCGGGATTGGAATGCAATTGGTTGACTGCATAACATTGGTGGAACCGTTTTGGAGGCGAGCAATGCTATGCACATACATATCTCTCGTGTATTCCATGCACAAGTAGGAAATTACAAACGGATGTGAATGCATCAATTCCAGTTGAAGGACTACAAATGCCAGCCGTCCCTTCCCTCCCTTCCCCGCATGACAATCTCTGGCAAACAGTTCAATAAACCTCAGCAAACAAATTTAATATGCGTGGACAGTGTGGGTTGACAGTCATGACAACGCATCCAGACTTTCCAGCATTCTTGTACGTGTGTGTGGGTGTGTGGGTGTGTTGAGAGAGCAGTTCAATTGTAATTAATTGGCCATGTCTTGCAGTCAAAATTAACACGTTTGCATCAAATAAACTTGATACGAACTCATTCAGCATTCAGCACTCAGCACTCGAACATCAGAATATTAGAAGTTCTCATGTAGCTCGAATTGTCATTGAATCGATGCCGAAAGCAATCCAAAATGCTTTAATGTGTATGTAGAAGAGTTTGATTCTAAATGAAACTTAGGAACACAAATTTGGATGGTGATTTCACGTAATATTAACTTAACTTTGCTGGCTTTTAGTTTTTCAAAGTTGCAGGCTCAACACGGGTGAAGGGAGACCGCTTGCTGGACTCCCTTCTCCCCCCTCTTCGGCCCAACTTCACATATCGTTGCACTCGTTTGTTCACTCGCGAATGTTTATTTAGTCGATGGCAATTAAAGTCTCGCGCCAAATTAAATGAAAACCATTTGCGCTCATTTCAAGCAGAATAAAATAATACAAACTCTAATTTATATGAAACTGCGCGTATGCCAAACTAAATGCATCCCCGCCCCGCCCCGCTCCGCCCCTATTTCACCCCTACTTATTTTCCTTTTTTTAGTTTCGTTTTTTTGTGCAATTTTTTATTTTAGTTGGCGCTACTTTTTAAAATCAAAGTTAGTGGGAGAGGGACGGAGAATAAGTGCAAGAGGGGATTGGGAATGGAAATGGGAATGGGAGAGGGTTGTGTGGCAGGTTTGGGTCGGGGCCAGTCCATTCCGCTTCCAACTAAATAAATAAAAAGTGAATTTTTAATTAAAAGTTAAGTGGCAACTCATTTAAATTAATGTTGACTCAAGCGTCATAGCAAAACAGTTGGAGAACCCAAACAGAGGGAGAGACAGAGAAAGAGAGAGATGGAGAGAGAGAGAGAGAGAGAGGGTGCATAGAAGTGCAAGTGGGTGGGTCTGGGTTTGGGTTCGGGTTCGGGGCATCATGGTGTGTGGCGGCACTTCACTCCTTAATAAGCATTATGCACCGCAGGACCTTGACGGAGGGGGAGATGGACTCCCGAGACCGTATGCCCAACGAACACTATCGGAACACAATGCAATGCTACTCTATCGCGAAAGGATCAAATCTGTCCAGCAATGGCAATAAACGAACAAAAACTTTAATGGAAAATTTCCCATTTTTA